GAGCGACAAAAATAAAAAGAAAAAGAGGAAAGAGAAAGGGGTGAGGAATGGGAATAGGAATGGAAAAGGCAAAAGAAGACAAAGGAAAAGGCAAAGGAAAGGAAAGGAAAGGAAAGGAAAGGAAAGGAAAGGGAAGGAAAGGAAAGGAAAGGAAAGGAAAGGAAAGGAAAGGAAAGAGAATGCGTGTGCGCGTATGCATGTCTGCGCATGCGTATATGTGTGGTCTATTGTATCCTGCCCAACTTCATTTCCAATCTGCAGTAACATGCAGGCACAAACATACTTTTGATTGCATGAGCAACCAACATTGCATCATCCCTTCATCTCTTCTCGATGTGGCCACATAAAAAAAATATCGATGTTTTTTTTTTTTTCTGCTGCATCCAAATTAAGATCATGCGAGCAACATGTCCTCTAGTCTTCGATCGGGAGACGTCCACATTTAAGTACTTTCCACCTTTTAAAGCAATTTTCCTCAACAGACTGAGTTAATACAGGTACGACACATCAACGTAGTATTTAAAGAGAACTACATGGTTGTCAATTCTGTGCACCGAATCAATGCAAGTTCAGTTATTGGTTTCATTCGGCGATAGACTTGATTAGATGGAGAGCAGCAATAGGACAACAGTGAGTGCGGTTGAGGTTACGTTTGATGATATCCAACAGATTCAGCATTCATCTATAACTGACAATAGGCGATCGACACAATTCCAATTGAGAAAAGCAATCTTTTTCCCACTCAGGCAAGCAAGGTAACAATATTCGCGTCTAATTCCAGGAGCACTATAATAATAAAAATAATAACAGTAAATTGTATTTATACCGCTTCATCTGTTTTTCTATCCCTGAAAACCCCAAAGAGAGCATTTTGGCATTCCCTGCACAGACAAGTAAGGGTTTCCCCAGGAAGAGCGACACCATGCATCTGGAAATGTATTTGGATAAGTTAAAAGATTTGACTCAACATGTCCTTGAGATTCAGCTTCCGATTGAACTTGTACGATACTGCAACAAGACAAATACTGTGAATAAATACATGGGAACCACTTCACGATTAATACTATTTGCAGGGGTCAACTCAATCGTGACTTTGTTGGATCTCGTAGCAGCAGCCAATCCGCGATGAAGAATATCCAGTTATTTGAGAAGATAGATGACAATCGAAAAGACAAGGTAAACCGGAGAGAGGAGAGAAATGATCTGTGTGATCAGTTGCAACATTGCATTATCAAATTACAAATATTGTACGAGCCTATTTTCATAAACTAACAGCCTTTTGAAGACCTTCAACAACTTTCAACAATGCAATCTATCTCTATAAATTATTGTAGTGTATATACGATAGTTAGTTTTTTATGAGCGAACCGACCGCTAATAACTATCTCGGATATATATTAGACTACGACATAGTCGTTGCTTATGATTCTAACAAGTGGAATTATGGGAGAAAAAGCAGCAACATCGGTGCTTGTATGTCAACCGGGATGGCAGGCATAGGATGTAATATCAATGAATATCTGTGAATGGAACAGGGTACAGGAAATATTGGGCGCTGCTACTACAATCGTGATTTGGACATGCGTTAGTTCCCGCCATCACTGGAGGCTACATAAGACGCGGAGATGGTTGATGCAAAATTCAGTACAGACGCTATGCGACACGGAGTATGGCGAACAAGAGCGTATATCACAAGCAATGGAGTGACAATACGTTCAACGACAAGGTCGGTGACATATCTCTATCGTACGATCAATGCGCTGTCATGTTGGGTAATCCGTTCAAGAAGCTTGGCAGCAAGAGAGTTGATATTATGGTGCCAGAATGTATTTATTTTCTGCTACAAGTCGTGCGCTTTTTAAGCTTGAGCGTGCACCAGCCTTGTAGAAAGCCATAGCGAGCTTGAACGCAGACATTGTGTCAAAGAGGCGGCGGACCAGTGATCGCCAGCCACCCAAGGAACAAGCTTCGCAAGTACTGCAACAGTTAATGATGCAATTATATACTTTTATCTAGTGACGTTGATAGACTTACAATTATTGCTTCTTAAAGTTAGTACTAGAGGCTCCGTTTATCCGAGATCGACCTCAACGGCTACAGGTAGAATATGTCTAAAGTTCTGCAATTAGCTGTTGCAGGACAAAAGCTAGCGATCGGGTTTTTATTTTGCGTCCTGTGATTAGAGAGGGCGTAAAAAATAAAAACCCGATCCTCGATTCTACAATCCTCGTACTGACATTCTGTCGTTACCAAAAAAAAAAAAAAAAAAAAAAAAAAAAAGGCGCCTTCTTTGTTGCAAATACTCCTCAATGTTCCATAGTTCAGCCTCGCTAACCTCCGTCGCGTCATTTACGTTCCTATTTTAGTTTCTATCCCACGTGAACGATAGCCCCCATCTGATCCTCATTTCGTCCGAGCAAGTAAATGTTGACTGACATTGATTTACCTAGCCCTCCCAGGCAGGCGCTTTTGTTTTATACCCTTGGGGAAGATTTGTAGGTATCCAGCGGATTTTCTGGTCAGGAGCGCCCACTAGCCATGAAGTCATGACAGCATGAAATATCTGCTCAGTTCAGGCGTGATTGAAGTTGCAATGAAGATGCAAGAGCTTCTGCATGTAATTCTTTGTCCCTCTAGCTTGACAAATAATAGTGATTCATACCAAGGCTCCCCAATGTGCCCAAAATTCTTAGCTTGGTGGTAGGTAAAAACTCAATGTAGAGTAGCATTGCTAAAAAGGATCCCGTTAAACTGAGATCGCTTATTCACTTGCTCCTCGGATAGCCTTTCAGCTCATTTGTGGATAGGCCCTGCGCGGTTTCATTTAGATCATCACATCTTAGGCTAAGCTCCCATGCGCAGATAATCATTGCATCAAATGTTTGAAGGAGAAGCGCATTTGCTGTATGGGAAGCAGCACGATACATTTTCGTCCTTGCTTTGTTGCATTGTATGCTGGTGATGCTGTATCATTATGTCACTATTGTGGATAAGATGCCTGAAGAAAGCAGTACTTCCTAGAACAGCCATACTTCCATTACCATGCATCCATGACATGCCAGGTACAGTAAAAAATACTGGCGTTGCATGGGAAATAGCTAAGGAACGTATATAATATATCCTCTTTTGAACATGATAAGATTAACTTTCAGTGTTCCACATTTCACAGCACGCAGAGCCACGTGACAAAATACACGCCATTACCTACAACATGGGACTACAGAATGGACCCGTATCGTTTCCAAGGTAGACAAATAGATACTTGATAGTGTATAGACCCATATCTTATTCTCACTTACTCTTCTATCTACCTATTTGTCTATCCAAAATCTTTGTACTTACAGTGGTCATCAAAAGTCATTCAATGATTTTGAATTTTTAACATTCTCATTCCTTTTCTTCATTCTCATCTAGCATGTGGCTAATACATTTGGAGTAGTGCATTTGTTCCCCACACCTCATGATTACTTTCATGTCTCATTCCTAATTATGACTTCATTGTGAAATAAAACCAATTTCAATTTGACCTGTCTATTGAATGACTACTGATGATTCTGAATATTGATTGCAAAAAATGCTTTTTCACTTCTCTTTTTTCTACCAAGGTTACCTTCAGCTATATCTTCATACACCTCTACTTACAATTAACATTCCACATCGCTTAGTATTCATTATGAGGAGGCTTTCTATGGGAAAAGTACAACATGCTCAGGCCTTACTTCGACAAGGGAAGTCTACAAGCGAAGTGGCAAGGCAACTTGGTATCTCTATTTCATCGGCAATAAGGATCAGGAGAGACGTCAAGGACAATATTCCTAAACCCAGAATGGGCAGACCCTCATTGGTTTCCCCTGCTACCAAGAGGATAATTGCACGCGAGGTTGATACGGGGAAACTTAGATCCATTCTAGCAGTTCAACAATACATCAGATCGAGCCATGGAGTGCATGTCAGTATAGAGACTGCCCGACGTTATGTAAAATCAGAGGGTTTGAAAAACTATGTCCGCCCATTCAAGCCTAGGCTGACAAAAATGCAGATTGCGAAAAAGAAGAATATTGCCCTCAATCACCTTGACTGAACTGTTGATGACTGGAAGCGAGTGATGTTCTCGGACGAAAAGCTTTTTGAAAGGCTGGGGTCCTTAGGAGGAAGAACACAATATAGGCGACCCGGCCACAGGACTTTAGAAGATCGGGATGTTAGAGAGAGATCAAGGGGAGCGCATAACAAACTTATGTGGTGGGGCTGTATCACTTATCATGGTGTTGGCGATGGTTGCAGGATCCCTGTCACGGTTGATTCCTCTTTATATGTTAATGTTCTACAAGATTATGTCCTCGGCTCGTGGAAGTGATATGGCCAGGACCCTGAAAAGTTAATTTTTCAGCAGGACAATGCAGGTGTTCATACGAGTAGGATGGTTAAAGAGTTCTTCATTAAGTCACACATTACCACTTTGGAGTGGCCTCCGAATTCTCCTGACCTCAACCCTATCGAGAATGTATGGGCCTACATGGATCATTGGCTCAAGGGATATGAGAAGGTGCCAAGGATCTAGATGAACTATGGAAAGACTACAGGATATCAGGACAACTATTCCACCTGACTTCCTTCATGGGCTATATGAAAGTATGCCACGAAGGGTAGAGGAGCTTCATCGCAAGAAAGGAGGTCGTACATTACTGAAGAACAGAAAAAAAAAAACAATAAAGCAAAGTTCTGATTTTCTTCAAATGTCATTCAATGAGATGTCAATAATTGGCATTCATCTAAATTTTCAATTAGCGACAGGAGCTCATTAACATTGTAGTATTAGTGACATTGTCGATGGTCGAATTCACTACGTAAGTTTCATTGTCGACAAGCAAGATCAAATTGGAGAAAGGAATGAGAATGTCGAAATTCCGAAATCATTGAATGACTTTTGATGACTAGAATTCTGCATTTGTATGGGTGATGGGACAGACAACAAAGGATCAAAAAGCAACGTCGCTATGAACGCTAAGCTGCTATAAGCCATTTTATCCCTGCTATGATGATGTTTATTTGATAGTCTATGTGGCCTTGTGGCTGTAATGACTAAAGTGAGGAGTCCATGTTAGTCACATCCAGCATGTTCTGGATTGCCGCATCGTTTAATGTTATCGTCCCAATGAAGGTGAATAGGACACTCTCTCAGGTGAGTAGTGCCCCATATGCACTGATAATAGGTTCGACAATCTTTTGGGTTTTTGAAGAATCCATGCGGTACGGGACATTGAAAGTCGAGAGCAGATTTGCCTTTTGGTTCTAGAACAGGGTCAGCTCCTGCCGCTACAGTGACGAATGGTCGGTCCACTACAGTAACGAATGGTCGGTCCACTACAGTGACGAATGGTCGGGCTGCTCCTGCAGCCAGCACAACTGTAGCAATAGCAGCCATTGGGATGACATACTTGAGGAGGGTCCAGTTGCAAGCCTTGATGTTGGTGGAGCAGAACTTTATGACTTTCATTGTTTTAAAGTACTAGGGCAGTTTAGAAATCCGATGGAGGTGAGCTTGGGTGATAACAATAAAAAAAGAAAAAGAAGCTCATGGGATACATATTTATACTCGAATAGTCGAGGATCACTCTCAATCTTTTCCTACTGGCTTTTTCTCAGCCCTTGATCCCTCGCCCTCGATCCCTCGCCCTCGATATAATTAGCCGCGTTCCTTTCTCGATTATCGTGTTCGCTTATGAATTTCTATTGGTTGGTATTCGTGGCTGTTGCCTACAAAAAGCGCGATTATACGCAAAATCACAAGCGAGAAAGGAACACGGGAACCGACTCAAACCTTTAGAGCCTTCTAACCATGAATTTAATGCATCATGATTCTGTAGCCCTTCAAAATCCCTTCAGATCTCTCCCTTAAAAACCATAAGTTTAAAAGTGCGAGCTTTCAACAATGCACTGGGATTTACTGAAAGGAGCTAAAGAGGCGACATCGATGGATCAAAAAGCAACGCCGCTTCTACCCTTGATGATGCAAATTTTTATACGTTTAATTCTACCATCATTCTAGATCTAAAGGTTTTCAAAGGTAACGTAGAGTTCTCGCCAGAAAGTCATGAACAAATATATTTTTAAAGTACTCAATTTGAATTAATATTTGCAAAAACATAATTTTACGTACGAAGCTTGAAAAGCACATATTTTTTTGAATTAGATACAATAGAAAAAAAAAAAAAATTCTCAAAATTCTTGATGTCCAAAAATGGAAGTATTCTATTCAATATAAAAACGTGACAAATATATTTGTTCATGACTTTCTGGCGAGGACTCTATATAACAGTAACCTATACTGATGTACTTAACATACGTACTGAAGTTTTTTTTTTTTCATAAGTAAAATACAGTTTATTTGTTGAACAGATTATTCCAGATTAGTTTTTAGTCGTATCATGTTGGCCTTGCTTTCTTACTATTTTTTTTTATCTTGTTCAGTATCTGCTCGTCCCATGAATTTTTTCAGTTTATTGAGGGTCTTGACATGGATGATGAGGAAAGATTTGTACAAAGCCGTTGTCGACATCGATGGCAACTCTTTGAGTCCCTTCAATCTTTAAGTCAGGACTTGGGCACATCGCTTGGTAACTAATCACTTCTGCTGGGTAAATAATTTCACACTGATATAGGCTCCTGGAAGACAGTGATTCTAAAGCTTGGTAGCTGTATCTTTTTTTTTTTTTTTTTTTTGATTGTTCATATTAGTGCTCCTCATCAGTTTTCCTGGACAGTATAGCCCCTAGTACAAGTGATGTCTCTCCTGCTCCCTTAATACAACAATTCTAATTGGAGTCGGACGGCGTGTAGAAAAAAAAAAAAAAAAAAAAAGCATAATGCGGATAAGATGAGAAGCTTCTTGCCTACACAAAAATGAGATAGATTTGCTCGTTAATGCGAACAGTAAAGATGATATCTAGGCCAAGGTATATGGCGATAGAAAGTAAAACGGAAGAACGCTGTTGTTTCCTTGCTTTGAATTAGCATTGAAATATACTTCCATGAATTTATGGGTTGCGATGTCCCTATATGTATTTCCAAGTTGCTCATGCTCATTGTATTCTACCGTCGTTATCTCACCCTTGAGACACCCAGGAAGGTAATTGTTTGGCAGCTTAGGCAGGAGGCGGTCAAGAAAAAAAGGCGACCCTTAAATGTTTCCACGAAAATTGATGGCACCATGGCTTCCTACATGTTTCCATGTACAGATGCATCGTTTGATGATAGCATCGCTCGTTTCGCCGCTGAAACAAATAAAGGGACCGAGGAATTGCTTCAACGTTCCCAATAGAGGAACATGATGAAAACTGTCCCGGATGTTTGACGATCTTATTCTGAATTCCAACGAGCTCTCTCATCAAATTGTTGCGACGTGGTTGCATATGTTGTTGCAGCTGGTCATCTAGTTTTCTAAATAGTGCCAAGAATACATCTTTGACAAATCTGAAGTATGGCGCGGCCTGCGCTTGAAATCGTTTGGCGGCAGCCAGGTACCCGTAACAGTAATTGAAGATCAAGACCCGAGAGAGGAAGAGTAATGGAGCCACATCTCTTGTAGAAGCTGTGGGCAGTTTCGAACCTTTTCATCTGATACTTTTACATCAATGAGCTCGATAAGTTTGCTGAGACCGTCAGAGCAAATCCTTATTTGATGTGTTGAAATGGAAATTTCAACGAAGACAGAGTATCTCGACCATTGATTGAGTCTTGCTGCAACTCGGGACTCCAAATACAGGTACATCTTGTCAATCTGTCCTGTCCTGCCTGTTCATTATGATGTTGGATCTATATCGTTCATGAGTCGTTGAGCCTGTTTAAGTGATTGGTAGATTCAAAAAGAGGAAGTTGGGTCAAGATTTTCCAGTGCGAAGGATTTTCCACGGCGGCAGACAAGAGGAAAGTCAGCTCTGTCTTCTGTAGCAACTGGTAATTTCCAATGGTCTTTCACATATCATCCAAATAGCCTCCGAAGGACAAGGGTATGATAATATTTTTTATCGTTGTCCCCAGGCTCTCTACCAAATAATTGCAAATATTAACATTCCGATGACGCTTACTTACGTAGATAAGATAGCAATGAAATGAAAGGATGATGAAAGAAAGAAAGCAATGTTGGGGAAGATGTGTGAAAAAAGAAAAAGGCAGTAAAATGGCTTTTTGTTGTGCTTGCACCTGGCTCTGGGTAACGTTGTATACATGTTCATGTTTATCTGGTCTGGAGCAGATGTGTAAGATGTGTTACGAGTCCACCTGTACAGCCGTACATAAACTGTACATTACATGACAGGAAGAGAGGTATTTTTTGCCTTGTGCAAGGGGCAAAAAGATATAAAACTGGCGTACCATTGGCTATCCCGTTTGCCCCTTTTTCTTCTGGACACAGAAATTACATTTCATTAATTTCAAAAACTTGTAACACATTCTCCTTACTTTTTGGCTTGACTTGATTAGGCAAGATTGTCAATGATGGATATTCACTCCGAGGAATGACAGTGACAGTCCGGTGCGTATGTATGGACGATGAACAAACGATATGGATGAAGGAAGGGAAGATAAAGGTAACATCATCGTGATCAACAATGAATTCATCGCTTAGATAGTCTTAGACTAAAAAAAAAAAAAAAGTTCGGACCCCTTTCTGCATGATTTTTCTATACCTACTCTTTTTTTATCATTCATGTATTTGAGGAGTCTAAGTGGAATGTGAGTGGTAGGAAGAGGGTCTACAGCGTTTGTGTTCCTGAAATAGATCGCATATTTAGTCCATGATTCAGTTTTTTTTTTTTTCCTTCTTTTCATTCATTCATTCATTCATTCATTCATAAATTTAATTCACCATTTATCCTTCCTCTCATTCTAATCTTCCACTTCTCACTTCACGCATATATACATCCATCCATCCATCGAGAGAGAAGATATGACTTCCTCACCAAAAACATCGAAGTATACACTTGGGTTACCTGCCAAGTATCCATCCTCAGGGAGACGTTGTCATGGTCAACGTCGTATCTTGTTCCTTTTCTCACTCATCCTTCTTGTCTCCTCTGGGTCCATGCTTATCCTTCATATCACCACTACTTCGCCTTTCAATCAAGCCACATCCGACTCGTTATCCTGCCAAGTATCATCCTCATCCTCATCATCATCAGAAGGTTGTCCTGCTGTTATAAGATCTCGCTGGAGATCAGATAAGGAATCAGATAATATCTATATCAGTCAAGAAGAGGACAGCAATCCCTATATGAGCCATGGTCGACCCCGCGCAGCATTACCTCGCCCAGTTGATAATAACATAGTTGATAAACAACAGGAGCAACAACAGCAGCAGAACCAATTCCCTTCTAATGAAACGTCCAATGATTCATCACAGAGCCCACTATCAGACGTTCTCAACAATGGTAGCACCAACACTACAGAAGAAGATGAGGAAGTAGAAAATATGGCCCCAGCCGTACCCTTTGAGGAAACATTCAACAAGCAAGACTCGACAAAATACTTGACCTATCTACCCTATGCAGGCATCACAAACCAATTTTATGGTATGCTTCGTGGAATGGAGGTTGCAAGGGCTTTAGACCGGACCTTGATTCTTCCACCCATCACTGCCTCCTCCCACGACAAATCCAAACAGAATCAGCCCTGGTCAAAGTTCTTGGACTTGAAAAAATTCACAGAGAAGACGGGGATCAAAGTGATTGAATTCCATGAATTGAGGGATGTAGAGATTGCCGAGCTAAACCAATTGCAGTGCGGGATCACTTGCGGCTTTGGCTCGAAACGAACGATCGATTTCACAGCCAAGGGGTTTTTGAAACAGTGGAAATTCAATTTGACGCTCTCTCCTCTGGAACAGGACGTCACCAGGCTAGAAGCTGTTACCTCGCTTCTGAAACCACGTTCGGATGAAAAGTACCTCTGCATTTCAAACACTTACAAGATTGTAGTCAAGGACAAGTCAGAATGGGAGCATTTTGGCCAACACTTGTATTTCACTGAAGAACTCGAATCACATGTACGAGATTTCTTGAGCAAAAATATAGTCAAGCCAGATCCAGCGATCGATCCTGAGACCAAGGAGCTTGTTCAGTCAGAAGAATACCGCTACTTGGCGATCCATGTACGACGAGGCGATTTTGCAGCCTACTGTGAGGGTAATTTCCAAGGTCCTAGGATGGTTCATTGCTTGCCGTCGACAGAGCAGATTGCAGAACGGATTGATGAAGTTCAAAAGAGACTCAATCCGACTATGGAGCTCTCCAAGATTCTACCGGTCTTTGTAGCAACGAATGAAAGGAGACCAGAGGAACTTAAGAAGTTTTCAGATCTTGGATGGCGATATCTGGATCATGACCAGATGGGCACGGCCGAGAAACTGGGTGTCTTTGGGCCTATGATGGTCGATCAAGTTTTTATGGCACATGCACAGGCTCTTGTTGGTATCCAAATGAGCACATTCTCACGAGTGGGTGCACTCAGACAGAGAGATTGGCACGGTCGTGAAGTTGAGTACATGTAAAATAGCTATTATCTACACATATATACATTTTTTTATTTTTAGCCAGCATATAGACTTTTTTTTTTACGATAACTCTAAATGAAATGAATACCGACCTCTATCTTTGTATGCCCTTTCTTGCCAAAAAAAAGTTTTCAGTCTTAAAAAATCGTCTCGGAATCATGTTTTTGTGGCTTTGGAATAGCTTTTTTTTTTTTTTTTTTTTTTTTTTTCTTTTCTTCACTTCGACAGTTTCTTTTGATACAACTACATGTTATTAGAAATGTCATCTTTAAGTATTAAAACAGTATTTGGAGAGGCCCTCAGGATCTGGCCAGTGAACTGTAGCCGAGCACATCATTCTATAGGACCGGGACTGCGGTCGGGACTGCGACTAAGCTCAGAATCAGGACATGGATCAATTTTGCGACGTCATATGTTGATGGGGCAAAGACTGCTGTTTTTTACAACTTCCACGCATCTTTATTATGCAAAACTGGCTTCCAAGAAAGGATCGTCCCCTGTAGAAGAAAAGGCACTTCTAGGTAGACCTTCCAATAATTTGAAAAGTAAGTGAGGGAACACTAAGCATTTTATTACAATATAGGGAAAGGAGATGAAGTATAATCAGTGCATTAATAGAGCATTTATTGATTGATGTGTTGTTTTATATTACTAGTCGGGATCCTTGGAGTACCTAATATCGGGTAAAGGAGGAAGAAAAAGCAAAAAGAGGAAAAATATATATATAAAGTAATGCGACCTCACAAGACATGTTTCTGATTTGCTACTGTAATTATTACTGTCAGGAAATCGACGTTCTTCAATGCTTTAACAAACAGTGCTGTACCTGCCGAGAATTTCCCATTCTGCACTATCGACCCATCAGAAGCTCGTGTAGTGGTACCAGATAAACGATTTGCATGGCTTGTGAGCCATTTCAAACCACAAAAAGAAACACCGGCTTATTTAACTGTCATTGACATTGCGGGTCTTGTCCGAGGCGCTGCTCAAGGTGAAGGGCTCGGGAATGCATTCTTGAATCATGTTCGGTCTGTTGATGCGTTGTTTCATCTCTGCCGAGGTTTCGAAGACCCTGGAGTGACTCATGTTGATGGATCCGTCGATCCTGTTCGAGATTTGGAAACTATTCACGATGAATTATTGTTGAAGGATATCGATTGGTTAGAAAAGGTCCTTCAAGAATATAGGCCAGCCGCGACACGTTTAGGACCATCTGGAACTGCGGGATCTGTAGTCGAAAGAAAGAAACGAGATGACTTCTTTGTGATTGAAAAGTTGCTGGATTGGGTGGCTAACCAGGGTAAGGACATCCGAACAGGAGATTGGACAAACAAGGAGATTGAGGTCATCAATCAACTGTATCTCCTGACAGCCAAACCAATGATCTATCTCGTCAATATCAGCGAACATGACTACCTTAACCTACATAAGGGATCGCATCAATCGATCCAAAGAGTCCGAGAGTGGGTTGATCAGCATCATCCTGGTGATCTGGTAATCCCGTTCTCTGGATCGTTCGAAAACCAATTATCTTTGTTCAACGATTCACCCCAAGACAAACAGACAGTCCTGGACGACGCCTCTGCCCAAGCCGGCGCTACTATTGTCTCAGCTCTTCCAGAGATCATCGTCCGAGGCAGAGAAGCTTTGAACCTACAACAGTTCTTCACTGCCGGATCAGATGAAGTTCGAGCTTGGACCATCAGAAAAAATACTTTGGCTCCGCAGGCCGCTGGCGTCATCCATAGTGATTTCGAACGTGGGTTCATCATGGCCGAGGTAAATTTGATAAAAAAAAAAGAAAAAGCCAAAGCCAATTTCCAGGCAAAGCATTTATTTTTAACACCAAAGCTGCATCTTCCATCGTAACAGGTTATGAAAATGGAGGATTTGGAAGAACTAGGTTCTGAGGCTGCAGTTAGAGGGGCCGGCAAATATTATTCCAAGGGCAAAGACTATGTTATTGAGGATGGCGATGTAATTTACTTCAAATTTAATGTCACTAGTAAGAAGAAATGAAGCATTATTATTTCTTACAACATAGTTGATAGCACTTTACAGTTTTTTTTTTTTTTTTTATTTTTTTTTTATTTTTTTTTTATTTTATTTTTTTTTATTTTTCCTGTTCTGGATGTTGTTGTTCTGTCTTGATCTACAAAAATCGCACCTTATCCACACCCAGACCTCTACGCACCTGCGCAACTGCCACAACTTCCTTGACCACTTCTTCCAGGATCACCACATTTGTCAGTAGCTGACCCAATGTCACAGTCTTTTTACGATGGGCGCTCTGTTGCTGCTGCTGCTGCTGCTGCTGCTGAGAATCAGCTGTATCAATGCCAATGGAGCTGGTTGATGGATCACGCGTCTTACGACTCGGACGTTTTGAACTCTTTGAGCTACTTCCATCTTCCGTTGTTACAGTAGCACCATCCTCAGTATTGTCGCCTTCCTCACTTAGTTCATCCATTTCTTCGGCCTCGCTGTCCGAGTCATTCACAAACCCATCTGGGAACAGAGGCTTTATCATCATAGTTTCCATGGTTTTGAGGAGTATGGGGTTAGGGACAGGATTGGGTTTCGATCCGAAAGATCCCCATGACGAAGGCTGAGTGCCTGCTACTGATGTGACCGCCTCGCCAGTAACACCCACCATTCCACTAGCCATTGTATTTCGCGTGGAAGTTGATGATTGGACAGAGGACGAGTATGAGGATGCTGAAGCAGAGTATACTGTTGTTGCTCGTGATGGATGGGTTGGGATTGGCAATGCTGTGGTAGATGCACTGCCCCCGTGTTGCATATCTGAGTCTGCTCTGCCCTGGAACAAAGTACTGTTGCTTGTGTTTATACTACTACTGGATGTAACATTGTTAGAAGGCTTTCCCATTGTCCACTTAGCGCTAGAGGGGTCTAAAAAGGACATGTTGGAGGGCGACGACATCAGACTGACTGGTGAACTGCTCTTTCTTGGTCGAGTAGTATTAAGTGGATGAGACGATGAAGCCTGCGCTGCTTCATGCAGCGGAAGACTGCTGGTGCGAGGCATAATGTTATGCACGTTTGATGATCCTGTGAAACGTGGACTCATGAATCCAGCCATGTTGTTTGGTGATCCTGTTGGCATATTTGGAGTCCCTGCTCCTGACCTAATTCCGCTCCCTGCGGCCTTGTTGACAAAAGATTCGTTAGATCCAAAGGGGGCACTCGGGTGAGATTGCTGATAGTAGTCCGTGGCGGGATACGGGTCCGCCAGTCCTGGACTGTGGATTGCGCTGTTGAGCTCTGTTGCGACCAGTAAGGTGCGACGTCGATCTGTTAAGAAATCATCAAACCCATCGATTTCACTGCGATAGTAGTCAACTTGCTGTGTCAATGTCTTGAGCATGGTGAAGAAAGGAGGGAATGACTTGAAGGGAGTGACGCTAGAAGCTTCCTCAGCTTGGAATGTAGCTTCAGCACTGGCTTTATTGAATTTAGTACTGTTGTTTCGAGCCAGATACGAAGGTAGCGTGTCTTCGTCCTCCGAATCACCAAGTTCGAACTGAGTTCCTGTAGGGGTCTCTCCTTGAGCGCTGGGATCCGTGGTAAACATTTCACTCTCTCTTATTTCCCTCACATCAGAACTCTTGAACAAAAGCCAACCTTCCAATGATCGGTATGGACACACAGCCAGGGAGGTAATGACACCAGTCAGAGCCAGATTCAATTCCACGCTATGGGCGAAAAAGTGTGACAGGATTCCTAGTAAGATCTGCAGCAGGGGATCTGTGGGAAGAAGGCGATGCATAGGTGCAGGGCGTGATTTGGGTTTATCACAGCTGTCAAATACTGCCTTGCTCTCCACATTCTTTTCTTTGTCACGAATGAAAGCCTCTCCGGACAAATCATCAGGAAGGTCCATCTTTTGTCCATATTTCATACTGCGACGCCGAAGTTTCTTGTGCTCCAGAGCAGACATTTGACCAGGAGTCACCTCACTACCATCAATCTCTTTGCTCCTCAAAAAGCATTGATGCATCTCGATTGCAGCCTCAGCATCCCGCAGATACGATTCATATCCATTGCAGAAAACTTCAGAAGTATTGCGAGGGTTGATAGTAGAGATGAGGGCGTAAAAGAGATCAAGTTCGTGGATATGGTGGTTGATAAGCGGCAGCTCTGTATCCTGCAAGTTCGACTGACCTGGTAAGTCACGGAAGGATGTAGCCTTGTTATCTAGTTGAATGCTGAGCAACTTGAGTGAATATTTGCAGTGGCGAGTGATGAGGGTGTTTAAGAGCTTCAATGTTGCAATGACAGTTGGCTGAGATCGGGATTTGAGACGCGACAGGATCAGATCCTTAAGTGTAAAACGGTTGGTGGCAGTGAAATAGGGTGATGTTTTTTGTAGATTCTGCACCTCGGCAAAGGCATCGTCCAAATTTTGTGGAGTGGCCTTGGCACGATTGTCATCGTCCTCAGACGACATCAGGAACCCAAGAACCAAATCAACCAAAGCCTCGTGCTCCAGTACCTGAAGAATCAAATCAATATAGCTTATTACGGCAACAGAGCTGCCATCCATATCGGAGCATTCCATGATAGATGGAAACAAAATGTTTTCTAGAAAAACTGCCTTGAATGTGACTAGGAGTGATTTCACTATTTCACTATTGGGGCAGCGCATCATGATATCTTGACAGAATTCAAGAAGCTTCAAGAAGGCATCCAGTCTGGATTGAAAGTCAGTTGAGGTAGACACTTCAATATCGGCTCTCCTGGATAGGGCCGATTCCGTTGGCGGCATGCGATCGTTTAGAGTGCCAACCATGCTATTAATGATGTTGGGACCACCTCGGACAAGCAGCTTACGTGGCAGCTGAGAATATGAAGCTCCAACGCCTGCGCTCAAAAATGAGGTGAAGTCTGTCTCCATGATATACTCTCCCAATGACCCAGTGGCGAGCTCCATGATGAAGAGTAGACCAGTCCTTGCAAAATCACCACCTTTGCCTTCACGATGTACAAACTTCGAGAGGTAAGTGAATAAAAGAAATTCATAATCACTCTTAGGGGTTGGGGCCACTTGGGGAATAGCATGCGTGTTTTCTGTGGATGTTATTGATGACTTTGGGGATCCCTTTCCTCGCCCGATTGCTGATTCCTGGTCTAAAGATGACACCTCATGTTCTTTTGTTTTTAGCTCTTCCTCTGATGAACCTTCACTAGTAGATACTCGTAAATTTTTTAGCATTTCCATTGTCTCCAGGTTTTTTTGAATCCGCCTTGCAGCAACTCTCTGAGGGACGGTGAGCCATTGCTTGTCATGGAAAAAGATGTTAAGGAGCTCGGGATATCCATGGATTTTAGAGCAAATGTTGTACATGAGCTCGATCAAGTCTTCATGATAACTCTCGCCCTGTGGTTCAGTTCCTGACGCGCATGTCCGCAGCAATTTGACAGTGGGTTTGTGGACCGCATTGTGGACTAGAAACCGGTCATCCAATAGGTTGATCATGGATGCAATGGTTCTGATGGTCTCACCCATGATACCTTTAGGTTGATCGCCTTCTGAATTATTGACTAGCACGGCAAGGACATCATGCTTGAGCAGATATTCCATGCAAGGGCCTGTTGCCCCTGCATCACCTAGGCCTGACTCTTCGCCTACAAGAAGATCTACCATGTTCTTTAACCGCATCGGGATCTCTGTTTGTTGAACGTGAAGACTACGCTTCGCAGGTGTGGAGAATCCATTCTGAAGTGGAGAAAAGAAGAAATATTTATTACATGGAGTATGAGAAAAAAAATCAATAAGCGTTGACCCCAGTATTACAGGATAAAATAATAATGAAATAGTTTGCAGCCTCTACGACAACGCTTCTCGTTTTATTGATAAGTCCCTTTTTTTTTTTAAAAAAAAAAAAAAAAAAAAAAAAAAAGAAAGAGGGGAAGAGCACGTACCTGGACCGCTTTCCAGCATTTGCCGAATCGTATCTGTGGCGTCGTACTGTTTGGCTGCACCTTGTGCGTTGCCATGACAGAGTACAGCTTGGCCCAAACGTTCGTCTCCATGGCGATGGTATTGTCGAATGCAAATAAGGAAATGACTACAGACAAACTAACAAACAAAAAAGATTGAGAAGCGGCCTTTCCGTCTTGCCCTCTCGTTTCTTTTCTCTTGTTCTTATTCCCTTTTATGTAGAGATGGTGCGAGCAATTGAAGACTTTTATGGAGCTTTAGAAGATGGAAGATGAGAAATAAAGTGCCCAGGTTCAATTTCATTTCGCACGCTCTTAAGGAAGTCACAATGTCACACACACTTGGCTATGCCTTCAGATGACATCCACGCGTTGCAGAGGGCAGAGGAAATCAGACAGTGGTGGTGTCATACACACAGAAACACTAGCTTTTCTTTATTTTTTATTCAGCAGGGTAGCCTTCAATGATGCAGATATGTTGAATGACTAGGCGACTCAAAAGACAGTCATCACCAATTAGGATTTTTATCCCAGGTACCATGAAAGTCAGCATTTGAAGTGGTGGGTTCATCAATAAAGTCCTCCGTTTCATATGTTCTGTGAATACAAATTCAGTAAGCAGAAGGTTGGGTTGGTTAGTTGGATGTGAACAAATATCCAGCCAAGTAAATGCACTATCCTGTATACTTACGTGTTTGGATTGATGAAATCTCTCAAGAAGTCTGGAACTTCCTGTTTGCATTCAATCAAGAGCTTGGTAAGTTGGGGTGCCAAGGGCTCGTTGTAACTTGTATAGAATGATGTAGCGAGCCCTTGGTTCCCAACACGGGCTGTGCGCCCGATCCTGTGAACATATTCGTCGATATCGTTACAGAGGTCGTAATTGATAACATGCATAACATCCTTTATATCTAGTCCGCGAGATGCTACTGCTGTGGCGATAAGGATAGGGCTTTTGCCTTCCCTACAGTTTTATAGACGGTAAAAAAAAAGCATCGGAAGTAGTGTCAGCAATTATGACTCTGCAACATCTTATTCGATATGCATGAGGTATGGATATAGACGCTCCGTATATAATAATTCTTACTTGAACGCCTTAAGCGAAAGTTCTCGCTCTTTTTGGGTACGATCTCCATGGATGGAACACGTTGGAAATTTTTTGTTGTACAAATAGTCATCGAGATTATCAGCTGTCCGTTTTGTTTCGACAAATATCATTGTTCTTGCAGGAGGGAAAGTTAGAAGAATATGTTCCAATTCTTCTTTCTTTTGATATTCGTGAAGCTTAATGATACGTTGAGTAATGTCGCTCGTTGTGCCTCCAATACTAATCAATACAAAAAAATAAAATAAAATAAAATAAAATAAAATAAAATAAAATAAAATAAAATAAAATAAAATAAAAAATAAAAAGTACGAAAAGTTCATCAGGTCAGCTCAAGCAAAGAAAGAAGAGTAAGATGTCAAACTTATCAAGCAACCGTACCGTCCAACTCTGATCCTGCAGCAATTGTGTTTCAGAAAATCCCATGCGAGCTTTTGGATCTGTCTGGGGAATGTTGCACTAAACATTAATGTTTGAAGGCTTTCGTCTCGTGGGAGATCGGAAGCTTGGATGATAGCACGGATTTGGGGTTCAAATCCCATATCTAGCATTCTGTCAGCCTCATCCAGAACAACATGACGGACATGACTTAATGAAATGATGCCTCTTTCCATCATATCCTTTAGTCGACCAGGCGTGGCAATGAGTATATCAGCGCCTTTGGCGACTTGTTCCCTTTGGACCCGAGGCTCTGCCCCACCGTAGATTACTACGGGACGCAATGGCGTCCTGTAGGTGAACTGTTTAAACAGGTGAAAGATTAAACTTACTTTTCTTATTTCTTCTGTCACGTTTTCATCGTAAGGGGCCGATAGCAAGCTTTGAGGATTGTACAACTTACTCTTCGTGCTTCTTTGAATATTTGAATAGCCAGCTCACGGGTTGGCAATATTACCAGGAGTAAAGGTGATGATTTGAATGGCATTCTTGACTGGGGTCGGATGATGTTTAAGCGACCTCGTTCGAATTTAGATACAAGGTTGGAGATAATAGGAATTAAAAAAGTGGCTGTTTTACCGGAGCCAGTTTGAGCACAAGCCATGATATCATATCCTTGAAGGATTATGGGAATGGCGCTTTTCTATCCAGCAGTATATGAGGGCATGTAATAACGTTTAGTCACAGATATGAATGACCTGGCAAAAAATAAATGATTGCTTAAGCTTTTTTTTTTTTTTTTTTTTTTTTTACCTGCACTGGAGTTGGTTCACTATATCTCATCCTGTCGACATTTTCCGCGATTATTGGATGCAGGCTAGCATCATTAAACTGTATAATGGGTTTAGAAAAATCTAGTGGTCAAAGAAAGAAAGAGGATACACCGTGTGAAGCTCTAACAAACATGATACATCCGCATAATTACTAACAGTCTGAAGTGGCAATAAATCCGGCGGCCCGTCCTTAATCGAGATTTTCATATGCGCATAATTTTTGAAGTTTATTCCTGAATTTACTCTGCTTTCTTCAGAAAATAGCTCCTCCTCAAGGGCAGGATCGCTTGGAGCATTTCCCAAAGTGTAGCTTGGATGCCATTCGTACACCCTTTGTTCCGAGGCCCACGAAAGGGGGTCCTGAGAAAAGACGTTTTCTCTTTTCACCCAGTTTCCTACGCGTTCATCAGACATGGTCGGCTCTTTTAAGCAGAAATATAAAAAAATAAAAAGTGAGGAAAAAGGGGAAGGGACAAAAATGAAGAAGGAAGCTTCTTTTTTGGCAAGTGATAAATGATAAAGAATGAGTTTACGTTGAACGTCACAAATTTCGCAAGCCACAATTTCGTGACAATAACATCATTTGAAGTGGTTTTTTTGTGGATCAAATTATATTTTATACAGTGTGTGAACGAGGAGAACACTAATACAAATACATGATAAAGTACAAAGGAGACTAGGGATGAGAAAAAGGAAACTCGCGTTCATGTGGACCTTAAAAAGTCTTCATGCCAACAAAGTTTCCTGAAAAAACATATCATCCCTAACCCCAGTTTAGACCTGGAAAGACGTCTCGAGCATAGGATCCTTTTTCTCTTTCCCCGGCGATTGCTCGATGTCGTTTCTATAGCCTTCTATATTTTCACCATCCTCGACTCTTTCCCTCTCAGAAGCAGCCTCTGCCCTAGCCAATCTTTTCCTTTCTAGTGTTGCCTTCGAGGGGACAAATACTAAGGTAATCAGGACGCAAAGTAACGTAACGGCAAATCCCACCCATAAACCAACTTGATAGCCTTTAAGATGACTTCCCGTTGAGTTGATGACAGCTTCAGAAATCGCGTTAGTTATGGCGAGCCCGACACCAGAACCAGCCTGCATAGCCACCGAGAATACGGCGCCTTGAATAGACAAGAAAGCATGTACAATAAATAAAGGGAAATATTCAGATGTCAGGTTATAATACAGGATTAAACTCAGCAACCATCCAAAAGCCCAAATAGTTTACATACTATTAAGCCCATGCTCGCCAGACTTAGCCATAGTCAGGGCCGCTACCATGGCGGAGGTATATGTCATTGCAATACCAATTTCGCCAATACACATTGAGGGAAATGGCAAAGGCCAATATCCTGTATCGGCATCTGCGACTGCAAACAGCGCGGCAGAGATTGCCATACATCCAGTTCCTAGCATCAGCAAGGGTTTGGCCCCAACCTTCGGAATCAGATGACCAGCTAAAGGGTTTAAAATTAATCCTGGGAAAGCCAGAGGGAAGAATGCATACGCGGTGTTCAAGGCTCCATAGCCCATCACCTCCTGGAAGATGAGGGTGCAGTATAAGTTATAAACTAAATACCAAGTCTGGTACAGTGCCCCCACAACTAACATCGCAGAAAACATACGGGTACGGAAGATTGACATGGGAAGCATGGGCGAGACAACCTTCTTTTCAATCCAAACAAAGGCAAGCAATAGAAGTATGCCCAAAACAAGGGAGATAATCACAGGAACAGACGACCAACGGCCATCGGAGATGCCATAGACAATGGCAAGCAAAGCGACAGTAATAGTGATGGCACCAGCAATATCTAATTTGACATTGGCACGTAGTTCAGGACTAGACTCTGGAATCACAAAAAATGCGACCACAGCAACCAATACGCCCATAATAGCTGATCTATTGTTAATAGATAAAGTAAGAAGTTCTGCTGTGTTAATTCTTGTACTGTAGCAATGAAGACCATGAGCAATAGCGAGCTGATGTTGTGGTGTTTGGAGTGATATGGTAGAATTTTTTACATGTAGAAAATATATTTCCAGCCGATGGTCGCTGTAAAGACACCACCCAAAACCAAACCAATGCCGAACCCTAATGCTCCGCTGCTTGAGAACACAGCGAGTGCCCTCGATTTCTCCACTTCTTCGGTGTAAGTGAATTGAATCAGTGCCAAGGCATTGGGGATGGTAGCAGCAGCGCCTAACCCTTGCATCGCACGGGCGATACATAAAAGTATGACGCTCTGGCTCAGACCACAGACCAAGGACCAGACCGAGAACCAAAGGAGGCCTATTAAGAAGAAGCGCTTATGGCCATACTTGTCACCAAGTTTGCCACCAATCAACAAAAAAGTTCCAAAGGTCAATGTGAATGCATTGACAATCCATGGCAGCTGGTTCTCCGAGAAGTGGAGCTCTGTCTTGATAGTCGGCAAGGAAATGTTGACAGCGGACAGGTTGGCGACATCAATAAACTGGGCGAGACAAAATACGACTAGGATAACCCATTTGGGAGCCTTGGTGGTGTTGGTGATATTAGTTTTGGTGAACAACATCATACACCTGTTTCATTACACAAATGGGCAGCAGGGTAAAAAAAGACTTGGAAAGTAAAGAGGAATTTAGAGAATAATGAATGTGGAATGAATGTAGAAAGCAACAAAAAGAAAAAGAAGTAAAAAAAAGCATGCTGGTGACTATAAATTTCATGACAATGTTTTGCCCGCAAAAGAATAATTGCTGCTGTGGGGAGCATATTTTAACCCCGCAAAATATCTGTCTCCAGTTTTTTTTTGTCTGTGCCACCGGAATGCACTCATGAACTACATGTACTGTACATGAACTACATGAACTACATGAACTACATGAACAAAAACTCGACGTGCACACGTGTGCCTATTTCTAAGTGGTGCAAAGCCATCAAGCCCATTCTTCTATCATATCATCCCTCATCACCACCAGAAGGACGAGGATCACTCACTAGACGATCAGCTAAATCCTTGGCGCCAATGCTCCGTCGGAAGTGGTTTCTTACTGGTATCTGATATCAAACACAAAGTTTGTTAAATTGGATTTGCCATAGGATACCATATAAACTCATTCTTTACTACTGCACAACTATTTCATTAACACTTTTTTCAACCATTCAGCATCATGCCGTTTTTCCCTTCAATAATAACTGCTAAAGCAATTCTTCTCTTCGATATTCTGAGCACATTCGTGTTCACTGCAGCCGCAACACCCATCCTTCACCACCGAGCTAGACATGAGCCCTCGCTGAGGCATAGTCTTAATGTCGGTGACATCAAGCCCGCGAAGAATGCTGTTGTGATCACCTCACACACAACATTTGCTCCCATAACAGACATCGTTCCTGTCACGACAGTCAAGCCCATAGTCAATCTATTACCGACCGACTATAACGACTGTTCTGATTCGGCCTGCGAATGCGCTATTTATGGCCATGCTCCTCATGCTCTGATCAGACATAATAAGTGGTGTCTTTATTGTATTCCCGATGTCAACAGATGACCTATGATAGACCCTTATGACCGCGACATACGCAGGCAGCAATAGCGTACTTATGGAGGATCAACCAAATACATAAGTGAAGCAACGCAATAAAGATGGTAGAACTCAAATAGCAATTCACGGTCAAATTGATTAATTAAAGGATACATGTTCTATGTACTTTTAATGCTTGCGCTTGTAAAGGATCGCGAACAAGAACCATGGATATTATTGCTTTTTACAAAATGTACTACAATATACTGATTACCAGAGATCATCGGCGACTTATGATACCAATGATTTATACTTAAGCACCACTGATGGTGGAGGCTAAAGAGGTTTTAGAAATAATTAGGTTATCGTTTATTCACAAAAGGGAGTCTCCACTTAGAGAATCAATCTATCTTTATCAAAGGTCATTAAATGTCAAGAAGTCTATGCGCCAACAAACCAGCGATCTTGTAGAACCTCAATACTAGCACCCAAACACCAGCCTGTCTCATAATCTCGGATTTTCTTGGCCAAATTGATTTTACGCTCCTTAGAGATGCCATAGCCATATCCAAGTAACCCATAGATGTAGCTCAGATCCATGCACATTTCTGCAACTTCACCAAGCTCCTTCTTGGCTTCTGCAATATTCTCAAACTCCTCAAAATCATTCTCATCCGCTACACATACACGATCGGTCAACTCTGCAAGTTCTCCCAAGGTCATGTCCTGCGTTGGAGTGTCGCTTCCGAGACGGAAAGGTGCGACTCGGTCAAAAATGTATGAGAATGCATAAATGTCGGAATCGAAAGATGTAGTGAGCGATGGCTGATAAACACCATTGAAGGAGCATGGACTCTGGTTACAAGCCTTGTTTTTGTAAAAGATAGCCTCCACAACGCGCCTGCATTCTCCAGCGGGATCTGAAACTCCAATTAGTGTGACATCATTGCCATCATAATCCCATGTTATACGTGTGTGGACAGGCATGCAGGGATGAAGATACTCATACTGTTCCAGGTTGATGTTATGAACGTTGGGGATGGGGTTCTCGACGACGAAGCGGTGAATCTGTCGTCGAGCCTCATTGAGTCCATAGCCAAGGTACGAATGCTGGAATAAAACATAGCCGTTTCCATTGAAGCTTTTGGACACACGGTGGTTACCCTGCGCAATAGAATGTCCATTGATCAACTTGGGCTCAAAAACAATCTGCGTAGAAGCTCCACCTAGATCCATGACTGCGACAGTTGGGCTCTTTTCGAGCGAACTGATTCTTCGCAGAAGATAGTTTACAGTAACCCATGCATATACGCCTATCATAGAAATGCAATTATCAATAAAGAAGAGTTTTTTTTAAAAAAAAAAAAAAAAAAAAAAGCCGTATTATAACTCCTGATATTGAATTGCCTCAAACTAACCTTCATCAGATCCCTCCATAACGGCAACACCTTGCTCCTTAATAATAGGGAATGGGTATTGAGTCTCTAATCTCCTGCGAACAGCTGTTAGGATATTTGTGGATTTGGCCTCACCCAAGAGCCTTAGTCCAGCTGTAGCTTTAACTGCAATAGGTGTGCTCTTATACAAATACTTGGGCACAGCCTTAAGAGCAGACTCGAGTAAAGGGTCCAAGCTTCTTGCAGCACCTTCTGCATCCTCATCATAAGATGACAAACCAGGCTTGAGTTGCTCAAAAAGCTCACTCTCTAGCTCAGGCGTTGCTTTACAGTAGTTGAACTTGTAGGCATGAATACGTGATCCTGATGATCCTGCGTCGATCATGAGCACATATTGAATTAGAGGTCGTCCTGGATGAGGAAGTGTGCAGTGTTCTGATGTGATATCTGCAGGCCACGTTGCCAAAGCCTTATCATGCAAAGAGTCTAAGATTTTAAGAATCAAAATTAATTAATAGCTGGAAAATTGTACCCCTGAATCTTTTTATCTTGAGGCATTCCATACGTACCGATAGCACTATCGTCGTGGGTGTTGGTTTGTCTTCGAGGAAGCATGACGAAGAAGAATAAAGTCAGACAAAAGGCCAGAATTGCACCATTGCGGAGCCAATAACCTTTACGTGCCATAATTTGATCTCTCAAGACCATTACGTATGAGCAGATGGACAACCAAGAGAGGGGCTTTCTCTGCGCAGAAGAGGAAGATAAGTTTTTTTTTCTATTGGTATAGTTGGACGGAAGCAGCGAACTAGAACTTATTCTCTTGGCGAGCTTGAAAGAATTCCGTCTGGACAGCTTTGAAGATTCTCTGATCCGCTGCTGTTGCTGTTGCTGTTGCTGTTGCTGTTGCTGTTGCCAATTAGCTTCGGATGATATCCGGTCAATTGGTTGAACAGAAGTCGCACTGTTGCCTGGCTTGCTGGTCAACAAGGTGTGTTGTTTCTGGCTGAGCTGTATCTGTGATGAAGCAACTGGATCTGCTGCGGATGATGTGTGGTTCTCTTTTGATGAATTAGAGAAGCGATTTGATGTTGAGATGAAAGATGGTAATGATGGATTTCGTCCACCGACAGTCCAGGACATGAGACTGATGAAACAAATAAGCGATGGTGCTATCTTTTTTTTTTTTTTTTTTTTTTTTTTGCTGTGACGGGCATGTCTATCAATAGAACCGCACATGTACTTTGTTGCTGACACTAAAGGTTGGTGGTGATACTTGTCAATATGGATTCGAGCATTTGTAACACCTACGACTGGATTATTTAATAAACATTTTGTAGGTTTTGGTTCTTCATTTGCACCATGTACTCTCATCCATGAAACTCTCTGTTGGCTCCATTTTTGAAGCCTTGCTCCTTCTAGGTTCACAGGTCTTGTTCTTCTCACTCGCATGGCAGTTTCTCGTTCAGGGTCTTGTGCGTGACTATGCTTCCAACAGTTCCGACCAGGAATTCCTTCTTTCAGTCTTCCCCACAAGTACATACAGGCGCAAGCAAAAATGGTGGCAAGGTGGCATGCTCGTTCAAGTTGTGTTTGCACTCACATTGACTTGGAGCTGTCTGCTTTTTGAGCTCATTATTCTCGAAATCCTCGGAATGTTCAGTCGCGAGTATGCTCTCTGTCATTGAAATGTCCATGGATTGATGGACAAGATGAGGCTAAAAGAAAGGAAACATTATTTACAAATTTCAATCGGTCTGTACTCATATAACCAAATAGATCCCGCTGGTATTTTTGGAGGCTCATTTTGTATGCCATGCTAGGACTTGTCATTGTGATCATTCCGTACTATCAATGCGTCCTCATTGTGCAGAATACAGGTTAGTTAAAATATTAGCCATGTCTTGATCAGGATTCAGCCATATTCCCGATGCTGACATCTACTGAGCATGCGTTTTAGGGATATCAACTCAAAAAGCGCTGCCAATCGCAGCTGCCATATGGTCAATATACTTTTACCTCTTTATCAAGGTCGGGAATGGGTTCCCTACTCCAGGTTAGCGAACGTATTTGATCGGTCATTGGCATGATGATCTATAGATTACACGCGCTTACAAGTATAATACTTCCTTAGGAATATTCTCTATGGAATGGGGGATGTCGCGGGTTGGAATTATCGGAGTGACAATAAGCGCCATCCTCTCTGGATTTGGAGCTGTCAATGGCCCGTATTCAAACTTGTTTTTCTTTTTACGGTAATTATACCACGAACATTAAGAGATTCAAACCAAATTTATTGACAAAGAGCTTATAATCCACATACTGTTTCAATTTGTCAAAAATCTAGTCAAGTCACGGATGTCGATATCCAACTTGCAGAAAAAAAGTGTATGCAAACCCTGGAGATGATTGCAAGGAAAAAGAAGCAAATTATGCTCCAGGAGACTAGGCTTGGAGCACTTGATGTGAGTCAACCATAAGAAGTAGTTGGTAATAGCTGTTGGTCAACGTATATGTAATAACATGAATAAGTCTTCATTGAAACAATATCTGCCAACTCTTCCGGTATAGCCAAACGCGTCCAAAGTTGGAGGCTTTGTACGCAAGATTTTCGGTACCGTTTCGGGCAGTTCTGGAATGGAGGGTAAGATGTGATTGATTAACATTTATAACCTTTATTGTTCTGCTTATGGTCTGTAACGTCATATTGACTTTCTACTTGTCTCCAGATCTGCAGGGTCTGAAACAGGAACTGGCTGCCCTGGAAGGAATATCTAGGCAATTGTTCCTGGATATTGATGACCTATATGTCGAAAAGGTCCGAACAATACTGTCTTTGGGTCCTTTTTATAACTCCCAGTTTGTTGCAAAATATCTAATTTGTTTTCTGTATTCTCCAGGCGCGATTAGAGTATTCAAAAACATGGCAAGGCAAATATAGTAACCTCCTGGGTTATATTTTCTCAATTTACTGCGTCTATAAACTGGCGATGGTAATTTGCACTTACCTTTTTTTTTTTTTTGTGCTTGGTATACTGTCAGTTCAATTAACATTCAGATTATTTTACACAATGTAGGCGCTCATAAACACTTTGTTCAGTAGAGCTGGGTCAACAGATCCTATCACTGCTGTTATCAGCAAGTTTATTTCGTACACTAATATGAAGATTGATGTACGGTTTTGGTCGCAGCAACTCAGTTTCTTTTTTGTTGGACTCATGATCTTTCTATCAATACGTGGACTGTTGCAGGTGCTATCCAAGTTTTTTCGTGCCTTTTCAAGACATATCTCTTCCAACAATATCATTTTATTCTTGGCACATATTATGGGCCTTTATTTCTTGAGCTCTGTTCTTACCATGCGCCAGAGTCTCCCTATCGAGTACAGGTCCATCATTTCCGATTCACTTGGCGCTCTGGAATTTGATTTTTATCACCGATGGTATATTTATACATATATACTTTTGGTTGCAGGATTACATTGATTCCATTGCTAACTTTTTTTTTTTTTTTTTTTTTTTTTGGGCCTAATAGGTTTGATGTTATTTTCCTTATTAGTGGAATAGTCAGCATGGCTTTCTTATATTTTGTGCACAAGGCTAGTGGTAGCAGTAATGTTCTTGCTAAAGATCCCACCTTTGAGCTTATGATTGAGCATGATATTTCTGATTATCGTCTTTCCAAATCTCACGATTTCCAGTCCGCTAAATCCTCAGATTCACGTTACAGTATATCTTTGACGGCGCAATGGCGCTCGCGTGGATCTTGATTGTAGAATAAATTTGAATTAAAATAGCAAATAACAAAAATAACATCAACCATTCGCAAGATAGTAGATGCTTACAGGGTAGAAGTATAATAAGACATGATGTGTATTGAATTTATCATACTGTCCTAATGTTGCTCTAAAAATGCACTCGTGTTATTTTTCTCTCTGTAACATAATCGTATTTCTCTCTTCCCTGTTTGTCTGATTCATATATTAATTGTGCTCGCTGTACTTGTAGTTCCACTGGTCTTTTGGTACAGGAGTCTCTAATGGCTCCCAACTATATTATAAGAGTGCAAGACAAGTGACATATTAGTAACAAGTTGGTAGGCTACATGTGGCTGGCTTTTTTTTTTTTAATGTATTTCGATAGTCGCACTTACGGCCTCCACTCGAGCATCTTGTCCGCCAACTTGAGCTCTTCCACGGCTTGAACAACAACCTCTTCGATCTGGCCAGCGTCTAAAGCCTCCTCGATCTTGGCAATATCTTCAATACTCTGAACAATATTCAAGCGGTGGGTGGTCAGTGCAGTGGTAGCTTGACGATAGACAGCATGATCAGGAAACTTTTCCAAGGTCTTAAGGGTATCATTATAAATGGTGATGAGGTGAGGACGAGGATCAGGATGAACAGGCAAACCATAGAGACCAGTAGTCTATCATTGTCATTATAAACGTTGTGAATTAGATTAGATGTTGCAAATTATGATATACAAAAATGCATCATACATTTCGGAACGAGTCTCCGAGATCTGCAGAGTTCGGGTGATTTATCCTTTGTCTTTTTTTTAAATACAATGCGTGTTGCTGCAAGCCAAAGTTTTCTGACAAACTAGCAATCTGGCAGCTGTGAGCTGTACCTTCTTGGTCACGGCGCTTAGCAGACGTCTAGTTGCGAACATGGTGAGGATCAATGATGGGAGGAATGAAGAGATGTGTATTTCTACTCCTAATGCCTTAACGCCTTCAACAAAAGTTATTTTGGCTGAAGCTGCTTCACTAAGCTCAGTCACGTGATAAAGCAGAAATACCTGCAGCCTTCGCGATGGATTGATCTTCCTTCAGTGGGATATCGCCTTGTATTTCAAACCGCATTATTAATGAACCAGCCTCGAATGCAGCTCAAAGAGGCAATGGCAAAAAAAAAAAACAGTGCGTTATGACACATTGAGCGATGATTTGATGCTCTGGCGCATCATCATGGAGGCTAGTGTTGATTCCGAGCGGCTACTTAAGGCAACAGGATCTCTCTTAAGAGCACTTAAAGACGGTGTCAAGGTTATTCTAAAAGTCGTAGTGTAACCGAATTGGTGTAAACATATTTACCTGGACAACAAGAATTGAGAAAGTATGGAGGCTATTGAGGTAAGCTCGCCCACAATTTAAGACGAATCATCAATCTGGGCTGAAGGAAATGTGTGGTTGTGAACTCACCACATTCGGATATTTAGTATTCGCTGTGGATAAAGAGCGTTGGTTGTACGTGCGGGTGATGGGCCTCTTCCTTTGAAGGAGCCGCATCATCAACCAACTGTAGTCCGTTTTAGCGAGGACCATGGAAGGCGTGTGTGTACAATCACTGGACTTAGCACAGTCGCAACGTGCCTCCTAGCGGGAGATGTGTTGTCGATATCGCTTTAAGAGCGACTCTTTTTCTTTAATTATTAGTTATCGCGTTCTTGGCGTCTCTCGGTGTAACGTTACAGACTTTTCGAGTTTCTTCAAGTTTTTTTTTGACATATTCATAAACGATTAGATCCACGTCAGCTTGACTATATTAGGCTTTTTCAGATACAGCCTTGCATCATTGTCCTGAGCATGAGGACCTCAAGGCTTCAGCTTCGAGGTTGGAAGGTTCAAGTATGAATAACGGTGATTTACACTTCCATTTCGTGTTTATTGGGACTTTGAAGTAGCTACTTAACTATAAAATCTTATTCAAATAGAGCAGATCTCGGTCTTCTACTTACTGTCACCTGTCACCATGATTTCCATTCTATCAGGAGTCGTCATAGTGGGGATACCTTGAATGGCGATAGGCTTTGACCGTTTCCTGGTCAGCATTTCGGGTGTCGTCTTAATTAATGTCTGCACTTGGAAAGTGAAAAGAAAACGTCTTCGTGTAGATCTAGCTTCCCTAGAGTCACGGGCAGCGAAAACGACGACAACTTGCAGTGCAGGGTCGTATTGTTTACTCATCGCAAAGATCGCCACTTGCTTCCCGATGACCTGGAATGATACTACTGGAGGAATGGCAGTCCCCCCATATAAATCCAATGCATCCTTGTAAAAAATGGCTAGCCATAGACGATCGATGTTCTGGGATTCTGCAGTGGCCTTCTCCAGCTTAATCTCGCTATAGAACACCTCGGATTGACCCTCGGCCGCAAGTCCAATCACATCAGGGCGACTAGGCAAATAACTCTGCCCTCCTTGGGCTCTTCTGGCACTCCCGGCTGATGAGCTAGAGTTCACGCTATTGGAGGAGTCAAATAAAATAAGATTTCAATGAAGCTAGCTATCCCATAATAAACACCCTTTGCTGCACGTTTATGCTTACCAGTTAAACATGATCTCATGCTGGACGGACAAGAACTCCTCAAGCAGAGGTACAACAATCAACACCGTCCAACTCATCTCGGACCATGAAATCCTCCGGTTGTTAAACTTTCGAAACATGTTCAGTCCTACAAAAAAATAGGTGCTATCGCTTCCTCCTGGCAATGGTCGAAAGAACTCAAGACTTCTCTCATTAAGCTCAATGTCGAGATGGGTTTGGGATCGCGGTCCTCCTTCTCAGCCAGCCACATCTCATCAAAGGCCAGAGAGCGTAAAGCCTATATAAAGGTGTGAATGCAGGTTCTACTGTCTGAAAATCCTTTACAAAAAAGAATGCAGCTATTATGAAGTCCCAAAAATATAGACGTACCTCCACCCAGCAGTGCTATTGGCTAGAAACTGCTTGCTCTCCTTATGTCCTCTTCCTCTGAAGTATAGACAGAACTAAGGCATTCATTCTGATCGACGCCATCGCTTCTTGTCAAAGTCGTGGTGTTTGTCGCAAAAGTGCAGGATGCCGGACAACAGGCTGTAGTAGCGAACGAGAAGCGTAAGAAGAAAGCCACATTAGAATATAGATGACAATCCTCAAAAACAAATTCATTCAGGCGTATGGCATACGCAATTCTGCCTACATCGTTATGGTTTAGATTTTGTTCAACTCGAGCTCGGTTGTACCACGACGTTATGTCCGAGCCAGTGCATCGTGATGATATAGCTTGATATATAGTTTTTGCTGTTTTATTTTTCTTCCTTGGCATGTAATAGATGGTTGTTTTCTGTAAGTAGAAATCACAGAGTTGATGGAAGGTAAATGGGCAAATTTGCCTGGTTTACAGTCCAAGGGATAAACTAAGTGAGTAGGCCTTGGCCATGGCTCGTGTTTCTTACTTTTTTTTTTTTTTTTTTTTTTTTTGGAGCGCATACACGGATTGAGCTGATGAACAATTTAGAAAAAATGCATCAATTGCATTCGAAAGTGGTTTTTATAACCAAATCCATTATGAAATCGGTTGTAAAAATGACTGAATTGACCTCCACAAAAGATATCCTTTAAAACGTGAAATTTAAAATCACATATATTGGTGCACATAACAAAATATGTCTTCACTCTTTATTCAGGCAATTAACACCATGATCAAAAAGATTATGAACAAAAGACGCAGCCATTCTCGCTTGAGGCGAAGGCATGAGCCGTAAAACTGAAGCCCCCTCCCCCCTTTCCTCTCTTCCAAGAAGGGTAAAGCATACATTAAACACGAACTGGAAGAAATCCAAACGATATTATGACACCACTTGAGTACTGTCATGAGGGAGATATATCAGCATAAAGTTGATGTACGCCAATATACGTGGCACGTTTTAAAATACATCTTTTGTGGAGGTCAATTCATCCATTTTACGACCGATTTCACTATGAATTTGGTCGTAAAAACCACTTTCGACTGTAGTAGAGCTTTCGTATTTATTTTTCCTCTGGAACTATGGAGACAGCGATCTACCATTCAGACCACCGCTCAAATCATTTCATTCTTGACTTTAAAGAAACAGAAAGAAAAGCTGCGTCGAATAGCCGTATTTATTATTATGCAACAAAAGACTCCTTATAAACAAAAAATCTTCGGAGGAATCTTTGAAGCAATCAGAGATGTAGCGACAACTCATATTTACAGGAGGTAAGAAGGAATGTTAATATATGGAGCTGGAGTATCTATAGAAGAGCACCACTTGTTTCCATTCTCTATGCGTCGCCTGAGTTATGAAGGTGCCTTTTGTTTTCCCTTAACAGTACCATATCCACAAGATTGTTGTTAGTAAGAAAGTCATCCATTAAAAGGCGCATCTTTAAGAGCCATGTCCCCTAAACCAGACTGTAAAATCATAGATAGCTTGCATTTTATTCCTTTTGGTAAGAAGAATCGGATAACGCAATATGGTGCGAACGGAGTAAGTCAGCTACTTCATCCTTCGAATCCTCGCAATTCACAAGGCCATTCAGCTCAGAAATACTTGGCCAATTGTATATAATCCATGTGGCATCTCCATATTCCATAAACTGGCGGCGATCATTTGGGAATTCTGACAACTGCTTCAAATTGACTAATTCATCCAGACCTGCTCTTAACGTCAAGTCTAATGTTCCATTATCATAATAGTATGTGTATGCCCCTGTCAAAGCAAGTTTCTGTAATCGGGTCAACCTGCCTAGCTGTCTAAACACAATACGCTGCTTCTCCATGCCTTCCAACGTGCATCTCTCAACATCAGCTTCAAGCTGGATGGCCAAAAGAATGAGGTTAGTGCTAACCCATTCTACTCCTTTGACGATTTCTGTCACTGTGATTTTAGATCCTATCAGTTCCTTCAAACGTGGACAATTAGACAAGATCGCTTGAACAGTACCATCAGCCTCTTCGCTGTAGTGATACAATCGCAGAACCTCAATTGTATCGCAGAGTCTCCGATCCCTTCTCTTTTGTACTATACGTCCATGCAATGTTTTAACCTAATTGATATAACTTACTATGTAATATGGAACTAGAGTTCAATAGGACAAAGAGAGGGTTCTTATTTCTGGGCAGACGATATCTTATGTACTGAAAGATATCATCTGCCCCACGTGAGTGGTAATTTAAATTATCGTATACGCTATATGGGTCAATATGGTGCAGTCCATCCTCCAAATTCTTGTGTTCATCTGCTAGTAGTCTCGAATAGAGAGTGGACCGAAATTACAATATGGAGCGTCTAGCCGTTTTAGTTCAGTCATCTGACTGAGAAGCGCCGCCATATCCCCATCCTCTATTCCCAAAGTTGGGAGGCATAAATCTGATACACTCGTCAGCGCGTACGGACGACGAAGGAATGCTGATTTGTAGAAATCAATATGTGTTTGCCGCTTAAACCTGCTTTTCTCAATGATATCATTAAAATACAGTGAACGTAATCCTGGACATCTCCTGGCCAACATCCCGAGGCAATACGATTGTGTATAATGTTCAGAATCAAGTATTTTGACATCAACAAAGCTTAGCCTAGTCACATTTGGGAAACTGGATTTGTCTGTGTCGTCGTTCAAAAAGTTGGAAGGCATCCGATCGATGATTACTTCAGACATACTCAGGTATCTAACTTTCTTAATGACTTGAAAGGCTAAACCTACTTCATCGTAGGCTAGCTATAAATGGGCTTAAAATCCAGCAATCCATGGGCATTGTCTTGAAATTTTATTTCGATGTCGAAATAAATGACCGAAAACTAAATTGTCATGGAGCTATCCTGGCTTCTTTATTTGTGCAAATAAAAAGCTCATGAAGACTTTCGCATGACCTTAGCGTCCGCTTGGGGCCCATTGTATCGTTTATTTATTGACTGGTGTAATATAACAGTGATAATATTCGCCGCCGTAGTCTCGACTTGAAAGGAGTGCAATCTGAGTTGATTCATTCTACCACACCATAGAGCTTGACTAACTTGATCTTTTCCTTACAACTCGGCGAGACTTGATTTGTCACATCATTTGCTTCCTCGTCTTCTTGCGCTCCCTTGATATATCTGGGTTGGTAAACACTGCTAATAGAGTTTGGGCCTGTTGAAACCAGAAGGAACCACACCAACGTATCATACCCAAGGTGATACATATATATATGTTGGAGTGAATGGTGAAATGCCTGTGTGTGGTTCAGATATAATGGACATTTACAGCGAAAGAAAGTATTAAGAGGATGCGAGCAATTATGAGAGCAAGAAGGGTTTTGTATCCCTTTTCAAGTTCTTGACAACAGAGCATGAGTAGCAGTTGTGATCACAAGTTGATTTCGGTGAGTCCGCATAACAGTAGTCATAGTGTCAAGCCCTATCTTCCATGCACGGCATGTACATTTTTGTTGTTTTCGGACTTGGCACCGATCATGCGAGGTATTTTTTTTCTGGGGGTTCCTTGTGTTAAGCGGCCAGACAGAAAGTTTAAAAGACATACAGGCACACCAACGGTGAAAAAAAAAAAAAATGTATGCGAGCAAACAGTTGTTGTTGTCTGCACATGCCTTCTTGCATCGCGAAAATATTTGGCGGTACATGCATGGAATGGGGCCGAGAATTTTTTTTTTTGCAGATCTTGTTTCCTTTTTTGTCCATCAATCACTATCAGCTGTGTGTACACGAACATGCACCCATGCACCAGGCTATTGAATAAACAGCTGAAGTGTCTCTTCGGTTTCTGCACATGTAGAAACACATTTTGCATCGCGGCGTTTTTTTTTTTTTTTTGTTTTCATCGCAAGAATCGGTCTTGCTCAAATTGAGAGGCAAGAGAGACCTACAAAGTACAAATCCACGGAAGAGTCGCCTGCTCTGGCTGCAAAGCGCGCACGACGCTAAACACAAGTATTTGGGTACCGGCACACCCACAAAAAATTTGTAAGTTCTGTTTATTTCCGTCTCCTGTATCCTTCTACCTGATCTTTTGCCCTTGAATTTACAGATCAATAGAAAGCGGAGTGATGTGGACAGAAGTAGGCTGGGGGGAGGAGATGGAAGAACAGGAGTGGTGGCAAGTGAAAGAAGGACGTATTGCATCGTGATGATACAGTTTGATATATACACGGTTTTGCAATTTTTTCTAAATTTTTTATTTACTCCTATGGTATGCACTCATTATTAGCGTCCCAGCTCTTCAGTTCAATAAAAAACGTATCGAGTAGATCGAAATACCGGCATTGGTTCTGTGGGCTCAGGAACTAAGTTACCAGAAGTCAAGGCTTTTTGTGAAAAGGGGAAAAGCAAAGATGGGCAGCAAGATGAAATATGGGTGAAAAATGAAGACTTTATTGAGAGAGAAATTTCTTTGGCATTTATAGTACTAACCTAGGAATCCATATTTCTGACACTCTAGTTCATTTAATAGGACTACCAGCACGTAGATACAAACAACCTTCTGGCATCTTGTTTCAAGGTTTGAAGGCACATGCGTTGGAAGGAAAACGCGATTTACGAATTGATTTCCTAATCTACGAATTGCAGGGGTCTATTGATCAGAACTTCAGGACACTGTATTTCAAGGTCAAAAATGGAATACAACCCGCGACGCTTTCTCAGTACGACCAAGAAAGACTGGCGAGTGCAATGGCAGAAAATCCCGCGAACGCAAGGGCCATGGTATGCGAAAAGTTGATCGAAAGAGAGGTATGTGTCGGAGATTGACAACTTGATAAGGCTGATTGTATATGGATGAAGTTTAATCATTCTTCTATCCTTACAGTTCGTGGTAAAGTCGTCCGCGGATTCCAGAGTAGAGTACTACGCTTTCGCGGATGTAGAGTGGCGCCTTCTTCAGTCATGTTCATGCCCGATTATGTCCGACATAAGATCCCTTACAAGCACATGTATCTGGTGTCAAGGACCTACGACGGCTTCAATGTTCAAAATGTCACATATTGAACATCAGGACAAGTACGTAAGTTCGACTTAGGTCCCTTTCTCAAGAGCTTTATCTCACCGGCTTTACTGCGCGGGCTGAATGTGGTGAGAGCTAAAGAGGGGAAAAAAAGAAGAGGCGAGGAAGAATTTTTGGTTCTATGAAAGAAGCTGGGACGTATAACATGTAGTAGATAAAAAAGAAAGCGCACACTGAAGGAAATGTAAGACTCAGTAGCAGATCTGAGAAATGTAATCGACGAGAGGCGTTCCACAATTTTCTGTGACGTTACACTTTTGTTTTTTGTAAGAAAAACCTGCGCACGGCACACATGCATACATTTTTACACACACCCGGCTGTCCCTTTTCTTCCCTTTTTCGAATAACCTTTGGGGAAAGAAATCAAATCGGTCTCTGATCTGTTTTTCATTCTGCCATTTCATTCACCCCTTCTCCTCTTTTCAGTCTATTTCTCATTTTCCTTTGCCACCCATGTCTTCTACACATACTCTTCCTGCCAAGGTACCAGCTCCTGTGCCTGTCTCTGGCACAAATGGACCGAGCGCCATTCAAAAGTTTATTCAGGAGAAAGACTGGAAGTTCTATGCCGCACTCGCTTCTGTCTCTTTGATTGCTGGTGCTGGCATTTACTACCTTACTCGGTCTCCCTCTACAGATGAGGCAGACGAACCAAAGTCTTCAAAATCAAAGAATAAGAAGAAAAAAAATAAGAAAAAATCAGCTGCAAACAAGGACACTTCCATGTCTCAGGAAAAAGGTAGCGGGTTGTTGTAGTTGTTGTGTTCAATATCATTCACCTGTTATTATTCACACAACAATCGTATTGTTCAGCAGATAAAAACATGGTCATGGAATTATCGATCTAACTCGATCTGCATGAATTAAAAAAAAAAAAAAAAAAAAAAAAAAAAAAGCTGACAGCTCTGCGTCTGAGAAAGCCAAGGAGGCTACCAAGGAATCTGACGAGAATGTAGAGACAATGAGCGCCGAAACTATTGCCGGACTTTCTGAGACGGTAAAATAAAGCAACAGCCGTGATATCCCGAATCGCCTTAAGATCTATCTGTTCCTGTTCCTGTTGACATACTAGGTAAACGCTCACACTCTTTTTTATGTCGTTCATAGAAACGCTTGGAGCATGCGAACACATTGAAAACTCGCGGCAACAGCATGTACTCGGCCAAGAAATGGGATGAAGCTATTCGACTCTACTCTCAGGCGATTGCCTTTAATCCCGATCCTGTCTTCTATAGTAACCGTGCTGCCTGCTATTCTATCATCGGAAAATTCGACAAGGTTATTGAAGATGCTACCTTGGCGCTGAAGATGAAGCCCACCTATGTCAAGGTATAGGAACATAATTGTATTTGTGATTTTCATGCATTATCAACTAGTTTTTTTTTTTTTTTTTTTTTATTCTTTATTTTATAGTGGAGTGATAAATGGAATTGCTCACTAGTCACTTCATAATCTTCCGCTAGGCACTTGGACGACGTGCTCATGCATATGAAAATACTGGCAAACACCAGGAGGCTATGCACGACTTTACAGCCCTTTGTATTTTGGATGGATTCAAGAACGAGTCGTTCGCTCAGTCCATGGAACGCAACTTGAAGAAAGTAGCCGATGTCAAAGCAAAAGAAATCTTAAAGACTCGTGAGGAGCGTCTTCCTTCAAAGACATTTATGTCTGCTTATCTGGACTCGTTCAGGAAGACAAATCTTCCTGAAAGTAAGCCCGCATCTGAGGAGACTGGCGACGCGCAATTTGAATTGGCACAATACTATCTCGGGCAAAGAGAATATCAAAAAGCTATGGAAGCATATAATAAGGCTATTGAGCTCGACACTACTCACATGGCCAAAGCTCTCAACATGCGCGGAACATTCACCTTTTTGATGGGCGATGGCAAGAAGGCAATGGTTGATTTCGACAAGGCGATTGAGTTGGACCCTAACTATGTTCAGACTTACATTAAGCGTGGCAGCATTTTTATGGAACAGGGTGAGGCCGCAAAGACCTTCAAGGAGTTCGAGACCGCCATTTCAATTGATGCTGAGGATCCCAATATCTATTACCATCGGTATGTTTTATACGCACAACCTATTCAGGCTTCGCCATGGGGGTTCCAGAAGTTTTCACTAATAGCATTGGGTAACTTTAATTGGTGATGTTTTATAGCGGTCAGGTTTACTTCATCACTGGAGAGTACGACAATGCTGCTAAGGATTATATCAAATCCATTGAGCTCGAACCCAAGTTTGTGTTCTCTCACATTCAGTATGGTGTTGCCCAGTACAAGCTCGGAAACATCACAGAAGCCATGAATATTTTCAAAAAAGCTCTCAAGGATTTCCCTGAATCTGGCGATGTTAACAACTACTACGGAGAGTTGCTACTGGATCAACAGCAGTTTGATCAGGCATATGAGCGCTTTGACAAGGCGATCAAATTGAAGCCTTCAAACCCTCTTCCATACATCAATAAGGCTCTCCTTGTATTCCAATGGAAGCAAGATCCAGCTGGTGCAGAGCGTCTGTGTCTTCAGTCGCTGGAAGGTAGGTTATTCTCATAGCTGATCTTGAATGATTGGGCTCGTTTCTTAAATCCACTTCTTATGAGAGTATCTGATCAACGAGTTTTTTTCTCTTCATATGTCATCATAGCTGATCCTGAGTGTGATGTTGCAATCGCCACACTTGGACAGCTCTTTTTGCAACAAGGAAAGATTGAGCGAGCTATTGAGTTTTTCAATAAGTCGATTGACATGGCTAGGACAGAGGCAGAGTTGACGAGCGCGCTCGGTTTCCGTGAGGCCGCCAATTCACAGCTAGTCTTTGCAAGAGACTATCCTGAGCAATCCAAAGCCCTCAAACGCTAACCACTAAAACGTCAGGGAATAGGATTAGAAGGATTCGCACAATGCAGAATTTCATGTGATTTCATATTGTTTATAGACAAAGCAAAAAAAAAAAAAAAAAAAAAAAAAAATTGTTCAATACATATTTAAACTGTTGTCAATTACAATTACTTTGCGATGAATGAACCCGCGGAGCACCTTTTCAGTCAAGCAATACTTGAGAAGCTTGGGCCTCTTGTTAGCACCCTTGAGTGTCAGCTTAAAGATCTGACGTAAGTTATAAGATCATTCGAATGGTGATGGAGAAATATGTAAATGGACTTTTCCTAATACATTTAATGGCACAGACAGGGTCAAACCATCCTTCAAAGCAATGTCGCACAATTATCCTCAGAGCTTGACTTGACGCAAACAGAACTCGATAAAGCCCATGATACTGTTAGTTTTTTTTTTTTTTTTTTTTTTTTTTTTTTTTTTTTTTTTAAAAAAAAAATATTTAGGATCCTTGAATCCACGGATATTAAAATATTAAACATTCCATCTGAAATAAATAGTTTGCGAGATTGCCTCACTATATCGCCAAACTGACAGCTATGAAGAACATGATTACCTCAACTACAATTCTGTCCAGAAAACTCCAACGCCGGGTTGATCAAGTTATTATAGGGCGAGAGAAGCAAGCGGCTAAAATGAAGGTCGTTAGAGCGAAGGAACAAGCATACGATCAGGCGGTGGCAGCAGTACATACATCAACGTCAACATCATCACATCCCCAATGGTCTGGTTCATCATCGTCACCATCAAAGCCCATATCCCCATTAATGGCTAATGCTCAGAGTCAGGATCATCCGTTAGCATTGCTTGGGAGCACAGGATCCAAATCTTTGGAACTCGACATTAATGCTAGTAGTTCGGCGGCTCGTCTTCCTCCACCTTCTCCTCCTCCACCCTCAGCAGGCTTGCCTTTTCCCTTGCCTGCAAAACCAGCGTTTCCGGTTATTTCTACTATGCGATCGTCAAATAGGTCAGAATCTCCACCGCTTTCAATATCACCCCACTTTTCCCCACTTCTCTTAGGACGCACCACAGCTACTGCTGCCTCGCCAGGCAGAGATTTTGCTAATTCTCCAACGTCGTCACTAACAGGTGGAAATGATTCCGATGTCCAGCAACAGCAATTATCTGAGAGAGTCGACCGCTTTCCACAGATTTCATCAACAGCGCAAGACGACGAAGCATCCAAAAATCTATCAACCCAATTCGCTTCTGAGGTGGAAGTAGTGCGACTGCGGCGTAAGAAGAAGCTATCTAAATCGAGTGCAAACACAAGTAATAGTAGTATTGTGAGTGTTAGTACAACTGCGAGCGTGAAGAGGAGTCAAAGTGTAAAATCTAAGGGCAAGGGTGCTGCCAAGATTACTACGACGAAAAGCACGTTGAGTGTACAGCAAGCAGAGCCATCACAATGATCTAGTTAGAAGCTGTATCAACTGATGCCGAGATGCCGAGTCAAGATCTCTGAAAAATAGTATAAAAGGAACTCCTATCATCATTTATTTAAACAAAGTGCTATCAAACGTAGTATAATAATATTGGACAATTTTTTTTTTTTTTTTTTTTTTTTAATGTCTTGGCCAAGCGTATCTCTGCCTGTGCGAACCTTCAGAGGACTGTTGCAACGGGAGTGCATTTGATAATATCTGGTTTATAATGTAGGCCATTAGAATAGCATTGATTAAAAAGGATAAATTGCAAACCCTTCGGTATACTTGGGTACAACTTTTCTTTTCCTTGCTTCTCACTTCAGTAGGGCTGGAAGCAGGAGCAGCAGCAGCAATTGTAGCTGCCACAGTATCAGTAAAAGGTGGTTGATGGGATTCTGAGGTTTGCTTAGTGAGGCTCCAGATACGCAGACGAGTCAGCTCAAGATGAAGCTGATCCTGAACAGCCTTTAATTGCATATATCTTGCCCTTAGGTTTTCGACAAGGCGTTCTTCTCCCAATATCTCATTCTCAAGGCGGCTATCGTTGCTAATAGGGCTCGAGGTTGATTGGGTTGTATGGGTAAAGGCAGAACCTACTTGATGGCCAGCCAGAACACTCTCTGGGTGAAGTAGAGGCAGTAGTTCCGGAGTATAGACGCTTGACAAGCTTGACAAAGCAGGGCCGTAATACTTCTGGAAGAAGCGTTCGATTGTCCGCAGCTCCCTATTAACTTCATCAAGATACTCTGTTTCCATTTTGCTATTTCTATTTTTTTTTTTAACTTGGTTGGGATGGAAGTCAAAAAAAGGATACGATGGTGTATGCATTGGCCTCTGTGTGGAGGTGACGAATTCGCCGCCAAGAAAAAAGCCACTAAGCTTTGCCTTGGGCAAATGCTTAAAATTGAGATCTCACTCTGGCCGAAGGGTTAATGTTAGACTCATGATCACCGAAACTTCTCATACTGCAAATAATGGGCTTCAAACGTTCTTTAGTGCGGTCAAACGGTTCAGAGGAGGAGCAAGGACAAGAACAGGAGCAGGAGCAAGAACAGGAACAAGAACTCGTAGTGCAGGATAGTTTAGAGACTTCAACCATGACTCATTCATTAGACATGGAGGACCTCTTCAGCGATGAGAGCGACAATGATGATGTAATTGATGATGAAGGTGAACTAGAGTCACTTCTTCGCAGCCAGAACCTGTCTATAGATGACATCCTGCCTACGAAAGCACAGGCCAACAAACTTCAGAGTATGCATTTAAGTGTCCGTGAAGCGGTTGGTCATGCAAAAGTTGTAACCGCAGAGCAACTACACGCCCAGTATCAGGACCAAGCCTTGAAAAGGCAATCAGAGCCTACCGCTGTTTTTCCTCGAGCATCAGACCAAATACCTATGTCTTCCAATGCCGAGGATCCAACAGGATACCTGGATGAGTCTCAAACTGGGATCCAAGCATCATTATCTGGGCAGATTATGCTTCCCAATATACTCAAAAAAACTGTACCGGCATCTTCCCCAAAGGCTCGGGCTGTTGTGCCTAAAAAATCTACTCCTGGATCGTCAGGTAGCCTAAGATCATCTCGATCATCTAGGGCCAAAATGATACTAGACCATGACCAGCAACAAGGTGGTGATTCTCCACCACCCACGGAGGATAGCACAGAAGAGCCTCATCCAAAGACATTAAGTCCAGAAGAAAGAGTCGAGCTAACTAGTCTGATCCGGGAACAGTCGACAAAGTCCCTTGAGATTAACAGAAGTTTCCAAAGGGCATTGAAACATCATTTAGAAAGAGTTGAGGAAGCTTATGTCAGGAATAAAAAGCTCAAAGTATGGATTTCAACCAGAGCTCATTGTTTCAGGTGCAACTACTTTTTAAAGACTAACTGACATACCTAAAATGCTGACACTTTAGAGACAGCTCCAGGAAGTCTCAAACAGACTCAGAGAAGACGAACAAGCGCCACTGATCCTAGAATCAAGCAAAAGTCGGCTAGGTCCTCCTTACTTTATTGACCAGAATGGCGAGGTATTGGAAACAAAGCCTCTAAGAGATAAACCAAATGACCAAAGGCCAAGGAATAGATATTCATGTTTTCCATAATTGATTTACTCTGATAGGCACCACCGGATAACGAAGATGTGCTATTGCAAAAGAAACGACCCGTTATTCCGAATGTAAAACCCAGAAAATGGACGCAGCAGGAACGTATGAGCCTTAAGACAGGCGTAATATCGGAGAATAAACGGATACTGTTTGAAAAGTTTCTAGCAGATGGAGATATTGCTGGCATACAATCACTAGATAAGGCACCGGATTTAGATATGATGCTAAATACCAAGGGGCTCGACTGGATACGCATTTCACAGCGGTTCGTAAGTAATGAACTCTTTTCATTTTTTAAGACAGGCAATATGGCCACTCGATTACATAATAACATAGATAGCAAAAGAGCTTATAGAGAGCTGTTCCCTGCACTCGAGTAGGTTGAAACTAGATCGCCGTCAGAATGTCTTATTCGGTGGACAGGACATGACCATCCAGGTATCAATAAGGATGATTGGACCAGATATGAGCTCGAAAAGATGGTCAAACTAGCAAAGAAGCACCAGGAGCGTAATTGGATTCAGATTGCGCTAGATCTTGATACGAATCGAACAGGTGCCGAGTGCTTCAAGAAATACCAGTCACGAATGACAAGAGCCATATCACAAGAGTATGTTATGTCTGTTACTATGAAAAAAAAAAAAAAAAAAAAAAAAAAAACAGACACTCAGACAGACATAAATTCAATGATGCTTTATGCTTTATATCGTATAGGACATGGACAAAGGAAGAAGACGCTCTATTAATGGAGGTAGTTCAAGTCCTAGGTGAACAAAGTTGGGAACAGGTATCCTACTGTTTTGAGGATCGTACGGCAGTTCAATGTATGCATCACTGGACAAAGTGTTTAAACCCAAGTATTCGACGTGGACGCTGGCAGAAGGATGAGGATGGTGCTCTCAGGGCAGCATTGGCTGTGTATGGGGAAAACCGCTGGATTAAGATTCAGCAGCATGTTCCAGGACGGACAGATGTTCAGTGTCGAGAAAGATATATGAATGTACTCGCGCCAAGCATCAAATCTGGAGCCTGGACCCCAGAAGAAGTTGAACGGCTACTGGACCTAGTCAAAATACATGGTGAAGGAAAATGGGCTCTAATCGCCTCCAAGATGGACGGACGAACCGACAATCAGTGCGCACGACGTTACAGGCACGCTTGTAGAGAGAATAATTATTGGTCTGCGAACCGTCGAAAAGGTCGGACAACAATTTCCCAACTACCGGATACCGAGGAAGACATGGCAGTCATCAGAAGACTTGCAGAGCAAATTAGAAGAAAGAAAAGATTTGATGAACACCTACAAAGACAAATGGACTTGGAGAAGATAAAGATTGTTCGGCAACAGGACGCTACTATGCAGTTAGACTATGAACAGTTCCTTGAAGGACAATGCTACATCTATAATATGTGGAATACTCTCTGGGGACAATATCTAGATCCCATCGAACATGTCTTCAATATCGGCATCCCAGTCATGTCGTCAACGCAGTTGATGAAGAATCATATGGATGAGCCAGAACCTGATTTTAACTATACAAGTAGAAACAAAGTTCCAGATCCCGCATCCGTACTGCGGCCGGGCAAAGTCCGACCTGTGCCGCCCTGTTTAGCGACCATAGATGCTTTTTCGCGATTGATTCAGCAAGGGGAGCACTCGGATTATCGATTCAGGCTGAAGCATGTGAGAGAGACAAAAGCAACTAAAATCTATCCATTGAAGACGCTACCTCTTTCTGTAGAAGAGCAGCGAAGCCCAGAATACATAGAGTTGGCAGAGCGTTTCGAAGCTGTATTCATGTGGCCAATGTTGGTAGGGATGCTACATATGGATACCGCAAAGAAGACGGTCGATGCGCTAACTGGAGGGAACAAGAAACGAAAGCAAGGGGTATAGGGTTGAAACTAGCTGTACTCATTATAATATCACCAGACTCCTTTGCTGCAAAGGATATGCCTTTATCATTCTGGAGCAGCCCCTGTATCTCATCAACTACCCAATGCTGCACATTTCTTCGCAGACTTGGTTGTCAAAAACAAGTATATTTTATTAATGAACCCGAATAGAAAATAAAATGCTGTCAAGAAAAGTAACGTTACAAGAGGAAGTCAAACACATCTTTAGAAAATCTACCAGCGTTCATATAAACGAGCGTAAGAGAAGGAACCCAGCGGTATGCTCAGAGAATGAGCAAAAAGTCCATGAAACTGAGTATTCTGAGCCTTTGATGGACGTGCTCGAAACACCAAGTTGATCTGACCCAGGAGAATGACATTCTGGTGTCAAAAAAAAGTTAGCATAAATAGTTAAAAAAAAAAAACCAGCAACGATTGCTATAAAATTAGGGTTAAGATATGGTTTTTGAACAATATTTGAAAGAATATGGACTGTATAAGCTAAATATTTTATTCCATGTTACGACGCTGTTTATCTTAGAGATCCACCACTGTCTTCCACAAATGGTCATTCAGGTAATGCACCGTCTCGACACCAATGCCTTTGTTGATGCGTTTGCTAACATTGCAGTAATAAGCATTCATAAAAAGGCTCATCAGTAAAAGTATTCAATTATAAAAATGTTGCACAATTATCACTTGAGCAACACTTACATGTCGTCAGTCGACATTTTCGTGGTTCCAACAGCCAAAATCTCATTCTTGCCCTCGGCTGTAATTGCGACAACGGTATCTGCAGGTACTGAAACGTCCATTCTAGCGCCTTTTGAAGTCAATCCTGGACACATGATGTTAGCGCCTCCTATAACAAATTTAATTGCACCACGATCCACCTGCAACCTTGGTAACATGTTCGGATCTAACGACAGCAGTTTATCATTCAGCAAAGATATTTGTTAACGTATAATATAATCAGTCTTGCCTTGTTTCTGTGCTCATAATTTTCATATCGTCATCTTTTCCTTTGATGCAGTATTTTCCTCTTTACATTTATGAAGCAATTTTAGGGTTGGATAGTATGGTCCATCAAAGTGGTTAAAGAATAGAACCTCATTGTTCATGACGATCAGGTTGATATGTTCATGGCTTTAAAAAAAAAAAAAAAAAAAAGTTAACATTAAATTATAGATAGCGTGGTGTTTTCAGAATACAGAAAATAAGGTAAAGATATTCTACCATTTCATCAAGATCAATGGTGACTTCTTTGGCATGACATCGTCAATGATTCCTTCGATACCATCTTTGTATTGCTCCAGGATCTTTGCACGAATACCGCGCTGGACTGAGGACTTGACCTGTGTATGTCCTGTGACATCTTCTTTGATATTGAACCTACAAGTGTTTGATGATGTTGACAAAGGAGAGATTTTTTTGTATCAGTTTTGATATTTGTTACTGCAGCTTTACTGTGCAACCGGCACCTTTGGTGGGACACTAATTCAGACGTAGCACACTAGCACAGAATTAGAGGAAAGCTATGATGTTTTTCCCATGCTTTCGACAAATCCTTTTTTTTTTTTCTTTGTTGCATTTCTGTTTGCGCATACTTTTTAAACATGGTGTTTTCCTGCTCTGCTGTGTTTCCTTGATGATTCCTTTTTATTTTTATTATTATTACAATAGCCCATGCGACAATTGAATCTTCCACAAGTCAAGTCTCAAAAATTCGCTTTTTTTTTAAGCTCTTGTAGGGAAGAGATTCTGTTCCATCCGTGTAACAAGCTTTCCCATCCTCTTCAATCCCTCTCTTTTCATCCGCGCTACAAGTGGCGAATCCCGAAGATGGTGAAATCGTCGCTGAGCCGCTTCAAGAGCTTTGATGCCTATGCCAAAACGCTTGATGATTTTAGAGTCAAGACATCGACTGGTGCTGCAGGTATTAAAAAAAAGAGATGCTGGGTAGTGTCAAATTCCTTGGGCAGATGACATACTCATGCTAACTGTTTGGTGCGATTTTCTATTTCATCTAGTCACCTTTCTGAGTGCATTCATCATCCTCGTATTATTAATTGGAGAATTCCTCGACTACAGATCTGTTCGTATAGAATCTTCCTTAATCGTAGATGGTGGTCGGAAGGAGAAGATGTCTATCGACTTTGATATCACATTCCCAAAGATCCCTTGTTACAGTAAGGCCATTCTTTTGATTGTGTAGTATCTGCCACTGGCTCATTTTCTCTTGCATATGTTTGAGGCTAAAGTTTAAATACATTGTAGTCTTGACGCTGGACGTCATGGACGTTGCAGGAGAGCACCAAAGCGATATCACACATTCTGTTTACAAAGTCCAACTAGCACCTGATGGCACTGAAATTAAACGTGAAAGGTCGCAAAGTAAGGATGACTTATGGCTACTTTTTTTTTTTTTGAGTTTAGTCACCTTAAACCCTTTTTGCTAATGTTATTGAATTCATCCATTAATTTACGAATTTTAGATTTGGGCAATACGGGACCTGACCCAAAGGAAGTTGGCGAAAATTACTGTGGAGATTGTGGAGGGGCTGCAAGGCCAGAGAGTGGGTGCTGTAACACGTGTGAAGATGTCAGACAGGCATATGTTCGCTCTGGATGGTCATTCAATCATCCTGAAGGCATTGAGCAGGTAAGGCGTTGAATACAATTTTTTATCAAGGGCCTTTTAAATCAGCGACTGTGGATCTGTTCCTATGGATTTGAGTGTTTTTTCTCATGGTGCCCTCCCTTGTCACTGTAGTGTGTTCGCGAGGGCTACATGGAAAAGATGAAGGAACAGGCGAATCAAGGATGCAGAGTGCATGGTATGCTTACTGTTAATAAGGTCACAGGAAATTTTCATATTGCACCTGGTCGTTCATTCCAGAATGCCAATATGCATGTGCATGATATTCAGCAATACCTCGAACATGGACTCGACTTTTCGCATCACATCCGGCGTTTGACATTTGGACAACATGTCCCCAATGTTCAGAACCCTTTGGATGATCAGCATGTTGATGGTGCAGAGGGGCTATACATGTTCCAGTACTATATCAAAGTTGTTGGTACTACGCACCATTACATGAACAAGCCTCCTGTTAGGACGAATCAATATTCTGTTACTCAGTTCAATCGAAACCTGCATTATAAAGATGAGCATGGTCGTGTTCATCAGCCAAACGGATTGCCTGGTAAGCATCGGGGAACAATAAACTAAACGGAAATGTATCGTAGATGAAGCTTTTTTAATTTTTTTATTTTTTTATTTTTTATTTTTTTTAGGTGTATTCTTCAATTTTGATATCTCACCCATGATGGTAGTTCAAGTTGAGGAGCGCAAGTCGTTTACATCGTTTTTGACGGGAGTGTGTGCTATTGTTGGAGGTATTTTCACGGTGGCAAGCATCATTGACGGTGCGATTTGGCGAGCAGAAAGGACATTAAAGCGAAAGATGGAACTTGGCAAGGCCCTGTAGTCAGAAAACTTTAATTACAATAATCCAGCTGGCATTGGCAATTCAATAAAAAAAGATGATGACAGACGCACATCACTCAAACACAAACAAATAATGTCTGTGCTCTATTGACTTCACCTCCGCTTTTTTTCTTTTTTTGCATTCCATCCATTCCTTTCCTCATTCCAACTCTTACCTTTTTCTGTTTGTCGTGCTAACCGCAAATCTTCTTCCCCTTTCTACATTACACATTCCTATTGTCTCATTAACTTCCTCCGAGAGGAGATACTCATGGTGTCGCTTCACTTCAAAAGTTCACCAAATAGCCATAATCCATTCCATTCCCCAGAGATCCATAACGAGGATAGACCACTGCTTGCACACTTTCATGGTTATGATAACAATGGATCACCACGACCATTCCCGACCGCACCCGTCACACCATTGGTGAGAGAAGCACGATATGGTAATGACAAATAGAGACATTAGAGACGAAAACTTGGGAAACAAGAGCATTAAAGGCTGATAACATTCGCTTTTTTAAAAAATCTGTACTATACGTGCACACAATTTGTTTAGCCATCGTCAATGCTCTAGACACGTCTCTCACTCGTGATGAACTCGGATCTCCAGAAATCTATCTTGCACTATTGTTACCCATAGTCAGGAGATACCGTGAAGAAAGGAGAGAGACAGCTGCGGTGTATGCCTTCTTACTCAATCGCTGGCAGTTTCTCAAGGACGCTGAGAGTGATATTGCTAATGCACGGGTAAACGAGACCAGGTATAACACATTAATATGACCTAAAATTGAACTTTAAATGAAGACGTAACCTGCTTCAGAAGCCATAGTGAATGCAACTGATATTTTCTTTGTGCTATACTTTTGAAATAGAGCGCATGCATGCGAGATAGTAGCAATCAAGTAAGAATGAATTTAACGTGAGTGAAAAGCTTCCGATTTTGGCCTTGATATGGATTATACTAAGTGCTAAGGCACCTTTTTATAGGATTCTCAAAGCCTTTTCAATGCGCCAGCTTATCGACGTGTTAACCTATGACTTTTCGCCTGTGAAAAGTAAGAATTGTATTGCATTAAGGAAAGGAGCCACAATACACCATATTTGCTTTAAGAGCTCACTATAACAATGCTGTTTTAGGAAAGGACACTCGATTTAGATTATACCTGCCGCATTTCGATGGCGAGCCTTCAACAGAGCCGATGAGTGCACTCGAGGTCGCAATCTCTGGAAAAGCAAAGCACTTTCTTTCGCATCCCTTAGTACAAGAAATCATAAGTAGGCCTATCTCGATTCTTTTGTATTTTAAAGATTCAAAATGGAAGCCGGATAAAAGTGTCATTGTCGGTTGACTCAAGTCTGTTTGATCATCGGGAATAGACCAAATCTGGCTAGGAGAGATCGTTTTTTTTTCAAACGCAATCGATAATCCACAGTCATGTCATAATGCATCTCCATCCGAGATCAGGACGGTCACTGTCTATTACTCAAGTGACATAAAGTTTCTCAGGCTCTCAAGACTACGAGTGCCGAGGTACAAGACAACTTTCCAAATGGTTTCTTCCTCAGTGTTCATCATCGTGTACACATTCGTCACTTTTGCAAAAAAACCAGAGCTCACAGCCATGGAGATGGTAAGAGATTAAGATAAACTGAAGACGTCATTTTGTTGCTGTCAGATAGATGTGTAATAGGAAATAATTTCTATTGACATGCATCGTATAAACTAGATTATGGACCTATGGGCACTTTCATTAACTTTGGATGAGCTTGTTCAGCTCAAAGACTCTGGACCATCATTTTACTTTGAGACCGTCTGGAACCTGTTTGACGTGCCAATCTACATTATCTTCTTGGTATTTATTATTTTGCGGATCACTACGTTCTTCAATGGATCTATTGAATTGACATATTTTGCCTACGACTTTTTGGCCTGCAATTCAATCTTGCTTTGGCCAAGACTCTTTGCGGCTCTTGGTAAGTTTATTCATATATTTCAAAGGGCCCGTAAGGGTGATATATCCACAACAAACAGGGAACTGACTCGACACTTCTTTTAGATCATTACAAGTTTTTTGGAACAATGCTCATTGTTCTGAGACAGATGCTTATCGATGCGACACTGTTCCTAGCACTCTCTTTTATATTCTACGTTGGGTTCCAGCAAGCATTTTATGTAAGTCTTGTCACTACTAGGTGAAATCATAATGTAGGCTCGTAGCGTTACTACTCTACATTGAAGAATCATTTCACTAACTCTACGCGTTCATCCATATAATGCTAGGCTCTCCATGACAACACACAGAGCTATGGAGAAATTGCATGGCTACTGCTCCAAGTGTTCTTTGGGTCGGCATTTCTGGGTTTCGAGCAAGCATCCGAGCTTTCAGAAAGGTTTGGGGCTCCTCTTATGGTCCTCTTCGTAGCAATATCAGTCCTCATGCTTTATACTCTTTTGATTTCTATTTTCTCGCAAACATTTGCAGAGGTAAATAACTATAACGCTCAGATACAGTATTGCGAAGGAAGTTCGTCTAGGTATCTATAGTTAACAGTATTTTCTCTTTCTTTTGTTCAATCATCAGGTTAGCGCCAATGCGAAAGAAGAGTTTATGTTTCTGTTTTCAGTCAAGGTTATGGAAGAAGTCAAATCAGATGCCCTATATGAGTTCCAGCCGCCCTTCAATATTTTAGCTAGCATTGTAATCTGGCCCTGCAGTCTCCTTTATCCTCCGGAAGTAGTTGGCAAAGTCAGTCGTGTTCTTTTGCGCTTCTTCTATTTCCCTGAGTTGGTCTGCATATGGGTCTTCGAAACTTTGGCAATCAAGAAAAAGGGCCAGTCCTCCTCCGTCCGGCCAGGGTGGATTGGTCATCAAGCTTCTTATGGTTCCATATCTGAGCTAGCCCGAACAGATAGTATGGCAATATCTGGAAGCGCCGCGAAGCGGAGACAAGAAGAAGGAGCGCATGATGGAGGGTTTAAGGCATCTAATGTAGAATCAACGCGTGGAGATGCGATCTCTCCATTAGATGTTAGTGATCCTATGACGGATCCTTTCCAAAACGCATCAACTCGTGCTTTTATGCCTAGCTCAGTATCTCAATACCATCAACAGCAACTTGATCAGCTCAACACACGGGAACTTGCAGCAAATGCACAAGCTTCGTCACCTTTCATGGAAAACATGCGGCGATTTGGAGACCCAAATATGATAAACTCAATGATGGCAACAAACTCTATAACTCCAGTGATGAGAAGTGAAAGCAAAGATGTTTTAGATCAACCACAGTATTCATATTATTCACCAGCACCCATTAAGATGGCAACTAGGCGCACGCGCCGACGAAGCAGTATGCCAGTAAATTGTCAACCGCGCTATGGAGCAGACGCGACTTTGGCAAGCACATCTCAGGGTATTTTACCATCATATCGGAATGAGATAGGAGGTGAGGATATGTCAGCGTCGATCGGAGACAATATGAATGGGATACATCATCAATATCAGTCACAAGACCAGCAATATGAGGGAACACAGGAGTTAGTTCAATTAATGGAAACACGCTTTGAAGAGATGTGGATACACATGAACCAAATTGAATCAAAGATCGATCAATTGATGGATGTGCTTATTACCACCCATCAGAATAGTAAATAAATAACTAAATATAAATTACATTCCTATTGCTTAAATGCGAGTATGATGTAAAGTAAAAAATTTATAATAAAAAGCTTCATACATTACTTTTCAAATGTCACCGTTCAAGAAGTATATAAAAACGCGCTGTTGAAAAAACAAATCAAGGCTTTTAAATATTACTTCAAACCGCCCCTCTCTCTCTTTCAAAGCACCCTTCAACAGAATCACAGACAGTCCCTTTTGAATTGCCTACTATGCATCATCGCTTCTTTGCCTGGATCGGTCTATTGGTCCTTATTTCTGGGTCTGCTTCAGCAGCGCCCGCTGCTGCTGCTGAGACCGTCTCTACAGAGAAGTGCCACATTCATAATGGACACTGCCATAAGCGCGACCTGGCCAGCACTAGCGTTTATACATTAACTACTGCAACAACTAATGCACAAGATGTTGATTTGGCCGAGGACTCTGATGACGCGCACGGCCTCTACCGTTACTATGGTGGCCGCTATCGAGGAGGAGGTTACTATAGAGGCGGATATGGCCGTGGACGTTACTACCGGCGCGGCGACATCACATCAAACGAAGGTTTCTCAGACATCAATGTTGCTGCTGCAGATGCGAATGAAGATGTAGCCTCACTCGAGCATATCGATGACGGCAAAGACAATGCCCATGAGCTGTATCGGTATGGAGGAGGTCATTATGGAGGTCGATATGGCGGAGGCTACTATGGTGGAGGTTACTATGGTGGTGGTCGTGGACGTTACTACAAACGAGAGGATATCGCGGCGAATGAAGCCTCATCGGACACAAATATGGCGGACTATGATACTCATGTAGGAGATCATGACGAGATTGAGCATTCTTTGTATCGCAAGGGATGGGGCAAGGGATGGGGCAAGGGTTGGAAAGGTCACTACTAGCGTTACTATGCACCATCATGGCAAAGTCAAACGATAGTTGATTACTTGACGCCGATGGCAGCCATGTTTCATATTGAACGAAATAATAAAAAAAAAGTAATCCTCCGTGAATTTCCATAAAATAAGAGAGGCTCCCTTTTTTATGGTAATAAGGCATGGATGTACTTGAACCATCAGCTGTACGTGAAAATGACTCTGTTCAATACTCAGCCTATCGAGTCTCACACACTCAACGAACGCCTCTGAATTGGAGTGCCCTCTACGCCAATCATGGTCTCAGACTTATAACAGAGCCCGTTTGCAAGCCCGGACTGTACTGAAGTGACAAAGTGCTTTAATGACAGCTGGTGCATATTTCAAAATCCTTTAGTTGTAGAACTGCCCTTCCACCTGGGATACTGCCTGAAACTGGGTCATGGCTTTGGACATCCTCAACAACCTCGCTATTAATCGAGAAACCTATTCATTTAAATCTGACTAATCAACGTAATCAAAAATCCATTTAAAAGGCCATTCTTGCTCCGATATCATTCTTATAGGATTTGCTGCTTATAAGTGTTGTATTCGTAATATTCCCTTGTGGACCTTTCTATCTTAACACTAACATCGCCGCCATACCTTACTTGGATGAAGTCGAGATATTTGTCGAAGAACTTTTTATGTGTAATCTGTATGGGATTTTGTAAGTCGAAAGTTGAGACCTTCGAAAAAAATTTAAGTTTATCAACGCCACTTTCAGCCCAAGGCTGTTGGCTGCAACAAACAATAGCCTGTTCCTGATTTCTTTATCTGAACCTGAATTATTCATAAATTGGGACAAGAATAGTTGTTTTAGACATATTATTTCTATTAGTTATGTATTTACTCTTGTTGCTGTTCTTGTTGATATTGCTGTAGCTGGGGTTGTTCTTTAAGTGGGCCTTCACGAATGCATCCTCCAGGAAGGAGAAATTTGAATCGTTCTCGATGTTCGAGGACATATTTCGGTAAATAGACAGCAGAAGTGGATTTAAGCATGGCTCCCAGTCGACTGAACAGTTCCCGGAAGGAATAGGCTTCTGGGAACATACCAAACAGATCCTTGCCCTCGCAAATGACTTGTTGGATCCATTCAGGCTCCATCATATAGCTGTAACGGACTCTATCTGCATGGGAGTACGCCTTCATCTTGAATCGGAATTCCTCAATGGTTCGAAAGCAGAAGGAGCAATGCGAACCTAACGAAAACGATAAATAACCCACTCAGCATCAGTCAATATCATGCCAATCATTCACTATTTTTTTTTTTTTTTTTTTTTACCTGCATCGCTCAAAAGGATAGTAGAAGATTGTCCATGCATATAACGGGTTTTGCCATGACTCCATTTGTGAATGCTTGAGCGCCAGTTTCCTTCGTCATTGACAGGGAATTCATAACTGTAAAGGAAGTTTCTGAGTTGAAAATGGAGATCGTCAGGCACTCCTTCGCATGATTTGATCAACTCGATAGTGTGGCGAGCCTGGATCTCATCCACATCTGCAAAGATGACGAGATCCCCATCTTGAACGCCAGTTTCTTGCAAGAACAAGGTCATCTCGCCTCTCATCCTCCCTTCATTGACCCAGGGTAATTGGTCAGGTTTTAATGGGTAAAGAGGGATGGACTTGTAAACGATCTTGGATTCTGCAAACGCGAAGCGATCTCTATTTTGCTTGAAAACTTCCTGCTTGGGTAAGCCTGTGAATGTTGAATTGGATTCAAGGATCAAGAACTTATCAACCACATCCCAAAGTTCGTTTATTCGGATTTCAAGCATGTCCAGCTCTTGACTAAAGACAACGGCATCATAGACAATACGTGTTTTTGGTATTGTTGCTGTGGGTACTACAGGTTCGGCCAAGACCCATCCATGAGCTTCACAGCGCTCTTTCATGGACATGCCAGGAGCATAATAATGGACAATGATCTGGTCCCATTTGGATAGAGATTTGTCCCAAATGGGGCGAACAAGGTATCCAAAATCGACAACAAGATATGGAAAGGCGAAAAAAGTGATGGATATACTGAAGATACAAAGCATCAAGGTTGCCATTAGGATCTGTCTGCGAGTATACCGCGTAGCTAACACTGTAGTAGTGAGCCCCATGGCGGATACTTTTTGATGTGAAATAGGGTTGCCTTTGATAGGGGCAGGAAAGACTAGAAAGGAAGGTGGGAGTGAAGGTATAGAGAAAGGTAAGTGAGGAAAGAGAGGAAAAGAAAAGAGAAAACTAGTGACTTTAGTCCACGCAGTCAGCCCATTGAAAACGGGAAATGAGTCGCCGCCTCCTCTCTTCCTCTCTTGCAATATTAAGCAAAAGCCTAGGAAGCTCCAATTTCATTCTTTTTTTTGTTAACTGGAGTTGGGATAAAGCATTGATCGGTATGCAGGTTCGTTTCAGGAATCATAACAGTAATATAAAATGCAATAGTGACAAAGTATATATCGTGAGGAGACAACGAGTTGCCAAAGTGATGTATCGACTTCTTTTTGGACTGTGATTGTATAACAGTTGCATTGTCCCATTGTTCCAGTTTTAATCCCTGCGTGTAAAATGGCTCCTTTTTCAAGTTTACGCCACGTGCGCATTGACCAACTTATTCGTTTTGTGGCTTGCAACTATCAATATGCTTTCAAGAATGGTTGATCTTTTTTCTTTCTCACATCCGCATTGAGCAGCATTCGGTATGAAGGAGCTGGAACCATCAACAAACGAACGGGAGTTCGTTTTGGCAGCATTAAGGGACGGAGCACGCATCGATGGACGCAACTTTTACGACTTCAGGACATTACGCCTTTCGTTTGGTGCAGACTATGGTGCGGTTGAAGTCCAGTTAGGCAACACTAGGTTCGTTTCGTACTTTTTCTCTCTCGATCCAAACTCAAATTCAAACCGAAGGCGAAGGCCTTAGAGACTAAAGAAAGAAGGAAGGGAGAAAAATAAAAGACATGGGTCGACTTAGTTTTTAATTCTTTCTTCTTTATCCTTTGGACAGGGTTCTCGCAAAGGTATCGTGTGAGGTGATTAGACCTTTCCCTGATAAACCGACAGAAGGATTCCTCATGTTCAACACAGAGCTTTCACCGATGGCCTCACCTGCATTTGAGGTCGGCAGGTAAACCTTAAAATTGCGCACTTGGCTTACATTGGAGCACAAATAGCACTGCTGATTGTTACCACATTATAATGACGCCTAACGCAATAGCAACTTTTTTAATAACACTGGTCTATTAGACAAACAGACGAAGAAGTGCTTGTGAGTCGCTTAATAGAAAAGGCAATGAAGAGAAGCAGAGCATTGGATACAGAAGGCTTGTGCATAGTGGCAGGCGAGAAGGTATATATGACAGGTTTAAGGAAAAAAGGTAGCTTTAATGAGTTTTCAACAGCGATGAGTGAAGGACTAAGGACACTGTTGATTTACTTATTGCTTAAAACAGGTCTGGTCGATCCGTGTAGATATTCACTTTTTGGATCATGACGGAAACCTTGTCGATGCTGCCTGCATTGCTGCGATCACTGCATTACAACATTTCAGGAGGCCAGACGTGACAGTTGTAGGCGAAGATGTCACCATTGTAAGGCTCAGGAGACTTTTTTTTACTGCTTCTATGGTTTTTTTTTTTTTTTTTTTTTTTAAAAAAAAAAAATCGACAGCTAAAGCAGGAGAAAACAACTATTTTGATATTTATAAACTGTTTTAGCATACATTGGAGCAACGAAATCCTGTGCCTCTCAGTATTCACCATATCCCGATCTGTGTTACATTCGCATTCTTTGATAACGGGTACGCAAAAAAGTCCTCTGCTTTTGGGATTATGATTTCATTACTCTTCAAGCTATTTTCCATTCTCATGATTTTTGTTTGTTGACTTTCGTATATATCTTTTGCATTATGATTAGAAACCATGTCATTGTTGATCCAACACATTTAGAAGAACAAATCAAGGAAGGTGACATGACAATCACACTGAACGTGCATAAAGAAGTATGTGCATTATCTAAGGCTGGAGGTATCCCAATGGAGCTGGATCAGATTATACAGTGCTCAAAAATCGCTGTTATTAAGGTTGCAGAGATTACTGCTCAAATTGAGGCAGCATTAGCAGCAGATGCCAAAAAGCGGTAAGTTTTTTCTACTTCTTTTTATGTCTTTATCACTATAAAACTCGGAATAGTGATCTGATCTCGTCCATTTCTTATTAACTTGATGCCCTACAAGGCAAGCTGCTAGGAAATGAGTGAGAAAGTGATAAGCATGACATATTCTGTACAAACACAAATACAGCAAGTAATTTTAATAAAAATGAAGTGATTTCGATAGACGCTAGGGGATCGAACTTGACTCCGCTGACCAGACAGCTGCCAGTCACACGCCATTCGTTTCATGAAGGTTGCTCATCTCACTTCTGACTTTTGATTCCTTTATTTTCTCTCCTTCTCTCTTCGCTTTCCTTTTTCCCCTCACCTAAAACAATTTTACATATAAATATGCCCGAATACTGGTTCGTGTCTATCCCTGGCGAGGGTAATCGCACAGTAACTTTTCAAAACTTCAAGGCGAAAATCGCGAGTAGCCAGAATGACCTCAGCGAGGTCTCACCCTTGCCCATTCCAGAATTTAAGGTGTGTTGTAGTTTTCATTTCACACACTTTCCTTTCTTATTGAAACAGGACAATAGGACAACTGAAGAAAAGGAAACAAGAAAGAAAAGAAAAAAAAAAAAAAAAGAGACCATACAAAAAGAGAATTCGTGCCAACACCATTGGTCATATAGGATTTTCAGTATCTCAACGCGTCACTACTTTTTTTTTTTTCTCTTGTTCCTGGCACAATTTATACTTGACCAATATTAGATTGGAACGTTGGACGCACTTGTGCTGTTATCTGAAGACCTAGCTAAGCAGGATACTGCATTCGAGTCATCCGCCAACAAGCTTGTAGACATTATCCGTTCACTTCTTGGACCTGAGGCTGCGACAAAGCTGGCAGGCAGCCTTTCTGTCAACGAGAGTAAGTAAAGCATTTTTATATGAGGGGAAATAAAAACGATTATGATAGACAACGTTAAAGCTTCCCATCTTCTCATAACGAAAAAATCTACATGAGTGGCCTTGTAGAGCTATAAAAACCAAAGTCCTGATTTTTTTTTTTTTTTTTTTTTTTTTTTTTGATATTGCAGAGACAATTGTCAATTATCTCAAGACTTTCCAATGGAACACAATGAAATATCGTACCGACAAGTCTTTGCCTGAACTAGCGGAGCTGTTGAACAACGTACGTGAGCATGAGCAAAACAACCTGGCAAAAATATACACTTATGTTTTTCGTACCTTTCATAAAGGCCTACTGGAATCAAATATTGTATAATCCTTTTTTTTTTTTTTTTTTCTCGTTGATTACTGACGAGAAATGTATAATATACTTTTGAGCTAATAGGAGGTTGCTCAGATTGATACCCTGATGAAGAACAAGATGGCCAACTATAGTGTGGTCAAAGGCAACTTGCAAGGAATTCAAAGGCGAGAGGTGTAAGAAAAAAAAATACTCTTTTTTGTATTGTAACTTGTACTTAATGACTAAAGATGGTATGTATTTGGAGAAATACTGATGTTCTCTTATTATGCTTTTTTTTTTTTTTATTTTTTTATTTTTTTGGGGGGTGACGACGATCTTAGTGGTAATCTGGCATCAAGAAACATTGTTCCCTTTGTTAAGAAGGAGCATGTAATTTTGGATTCGGAATACTTAGAGACACTTATTGTCGCTGTCCCAAAGTACGATCATGGTTGTTGCTGTAAGCAAATATTGAATGTTACTTCACATTTCAACTTTTAGCGGATATCACAATGCTAACAGCTAGGCCCAATGCTACGATTTTTTTTTTTTTTTTTTTTTTTTTTTTTTTTTTATAAAAAAATGTCTTCATCAATCTTCTGTCACTCAGGACACTTTATAAAGACTGGCAAAACAAATACGAAAGACTCACACAGATGGTTGTTCCTCGGTCATCTCAGTAAGTCAACTGCACTCTTAACTTTCAAAACTTGCTTATAAAGATACAACTTGGGACTGATTATTATTGTTATTTGATTCGACTAAAATATTATCTTTAGGAAAATCGCAGAAGATGATGAATATGGGCTGTTTACCGTGACTCTATTTAGGCGTATTGCGGAAGATTTTACCAATAAATGCCGAGAGGAGAGATTCATTGTTCGTGATTTCAAGTACAGTCCGGATGCCATTGAGGAGCAAAGGCGCGAATTAGAGGAAGTGGATGCATCTGAGAAGGAGCTCTGGGTAGGCACTCGCAACAGCATTATCAAGCGACATCTTTTATGCATCGATTTTTTTTTTTTTTTTTTTTTTTTTTTTAATTATAATATTCACTAATTGGAATTCCTTTTTCTTCCTTTCTTTCCTCTATGCAGGCGACCATCTTGCGCTTAGCCAAGACAAATTTTGGTGAGGTATTCCAGGCATGGACCCATTTGAAGTCGCTTCGCGTATTTGTCGAATCGGTACTTCGATATGGCTTGCCTCCAGATTTTGTTGGTTTTACGATCAAGCCAAAACCCAAGCAAGATCAAAAGATTTTGGATATTCTAACAGCACAATATGGTCATTTGGGAGGATCTCCTTCGAGCAGAGCCGGTCATGTTCACCATGGAGATGACCACACCGAAGAGACTATCGCTGGATATAACGACAAGGATTATAAACCCTTCGTGTTCTTTTCTCTTAAACTAGAAATCGAAAGACAATAGATGACTGACTACAGGACACAGCAGAAGAATTGCGGATGAGTTTGAGTAAAAAAAAAAAAAAAAAAAAAAAATAGTCTTGAAGTTCCAAAAAGAAGATAAAGAAGATTGGGTTCTGTAATGTCTAGCACAATATTCTCATGTGTAATGTAATTTTTATTTTATTTTATTTTTTTATTGTATAACGTAATGCTAGAAGGACAGTTCAGGTAAAATACATGAGGACGAGAGAAAATAAGAAAGCAAAAATGTAGACTATAGTCTCTTCAAATTTCAATGAGGCGTGTTGCGCCTACCATTATCACTTTGGTTGATAGTTTTGCATAAACGCAGCGAAATCAAATGCTGGCTGCTGTTGCTGTTGCTGTTGCTGTTGCTGTTGATACAGCTGTTGATACGCAGCGTAGTAAGCTTGCTGCTGTTGATAAGCTAATTGCTGTTGTGATAGCTGTTGTACAGGGGCCTGGATTTGGGTCTGCTGCTGCTGCTGCTGTGTGGTTTGCTGAAGCATTGCTAAGAGCTGTTGAGTACGCTCAACAGCCTCATTAGTGAACATAGCTCCAAGAGGATTTACCTGAGCTTGTTGAGGCTGTTGATACTGCTGGTGATACAGTTGATTATAACCAGCATGTTCCTGTTGTTGTTGTTGTTGTTGCTGTTGTTGCTGTTGTTGCTGTTGCTGGGCGTTAAATGCCGTACCATATAATGACCCATAGCCATGACTTGCCGTGTCCTATAAAAACAATAATATAACGATATTAAATATTAGCATAGAGGGAAAAAAAAAAAAAAAAAAAAAAAAAAGATTCCCTTGCCATTAAACTGGCGCTTCAAGTGATATAATAGAAATACTTATTACCGTAGCATTGGGCTTGGATACAGCTGCTGCAACTGTTGCTGTTAGAGCTGCTAGGACTGCGGCAGTGTTGTTGTTGAGCAGAGCAGCAGCAGCAGGAGTTGCAGTCAACAAAGATGATGTCAATGACGATGTAGATGCTTGAGAGCTGACCCCTAATCCAGACACCAACCCTACCCCTGATCCTGTCTGCCTTACGGTCTCTGGATCCTCATCTGGCTCTGCTGGTGATGGAGGGATATAAGCAAGTTGAAGATAGTTTGCAGAAAGTGTCTCCGCTTCCCTTGCCTCCTGCACTACCTTTTCTGTACTCTTAAAGCCTCTTTCTGGATACCCAAAAATTTCAAGTTTGAGCATTGGAGGAGCTCGCCAAAGATCGCCTCGGATAAGCGCATCCACAATTTGTGTAGGCATCTCGAACTGTGGACGAGTCTGCTCATGACCATATTGGGAATGATGAGATGAACTATAAGAGGAAGAGATACCTTCAATGGCCGACTCATACTCAAAACCACCCCCTTGTTCATCGTTATTAAACTCCTCCTGATCATATTCTGATTCACTGTGCTCTTGGATCTCTCCACGTGGCTCAATAAGTCGAACTGAAACTAATTCCCAGTCAGCTTTCCATGTGACACGTCTGACCTTATTTTTCTTCGGTGGAGAATCAGGTGAGGATGATTCAATAGCCACCTCCGGTGTCGTTGAGATCGAAGACGAGCTTGATTTGGTTACTATAGGAGATGCAGGATTTTCGAGCGCTGGGGGTGGCGAATCCTGTTTAATAGGGACAACTATGGTTGACACGGTCGGAGTCGTAGATTGGGGTGTGCTAATTTCTATAGTTGTAGCTGTGCTTGTAGCTGTGCTTGTAGCTGTGCTTGTAGCAGTCTCTCCTTTTAGTTTGAGCGTGATTGAGGATGGCGTTGGTTTGTTTGACGGCATGCTACTTGCTGATGAAGAAGTCTTGGCAGAGTGTGCTGCTGCTGCTGATCGATTTGACATGCCTGAGTCGCCTCTGAGTTGATCAAAGAAGCTGGCATTGCTCGTCACGCTGCTCTTTTTGATCGTATCCACAGGAGGTACTACTTTACTTTTGTTGAATTTTGGAAGAGGAAGATCTGGGGTCTGATCATAACAAAAGAATAGTAACAATCATAAAAATATAACCATAAAAATTAATATAAGTAGGGTTAATAAATGTTCTTCATGGACCCACAACTTGTGAACCAAAATGTTATCACTCATGATTTTTGACAGCTGTGGAATGGCAGGCTTACATCTCGGACACTAGGACGTGTTTCTTCCTCGTCACTCCTAGATCGTTTCTTGCTTTTTTTGTCCCCATCATGCTTGCTGGGTGGATTGGAAGAGCCTGCTCGGCCATCTTCTGCAACTAATTTCTTCCATTTCTTTACAACTTTGGAAGCCTGATCTGCTATGTCTTTTGTTTTTTTTGAAAACACCATAGAATTATATATTCAATATCATTAATGCACTGGGCCAATTTATTGCTACTTTACAAACACGGGGGGGGGGGGGTTTTTTTTTTTTTTTTTTTTTTTTTTTCTTCTTTGGCCATTGTTTTCTTGGTTTGATGTTGTCATCGTCCTTGCAAAATGTCTGTAAGTACTAAACTTATCGCTCAATAAATTCTTTTTTTTTTACATTTATTTTATTTTCACTTCTTACCTTGCTCAATATTCTGTTTTTTGTTTTGTGCAATCCGATTCATCACCTTGCCTAAATCATGAATAGTAAAATCTTTTATGCCTAACGGGAGATCATCCAAGATATCGATAGCTTTGGTGAGCAAATCAGAGTACTCGGAGGGATGAGATCCTTCTTGCACTTCACGCATCCAGTCACTCAGGAAAGCATGTCCATTCGAGCGTACAAATCTATTATTTGTATTTTTTTTTTTTTTTTTTTTTTTTTGGAATAACCATGGTCAATATTTTATATTGATGTATCAAGCAACTTTTCTGACACACCGTTTACAGATTCCTTGAAATGCTAAGCAAATAATAATGTTAAACATAAGAAACTTACTCGTTGACAACAGGCGTGACTCTTCTAGAGGATAAGAGCGCATTCAAAATGTATAAACGACCTTTATAATCTGACGCGACTTTCATCAGTTCAACAATGCCTAGAACATTCTCCGGCTTACGGATCATATTCCCCTGTGTGAGACGGGCAAGTTTGAGCGCTACAGTTGTGTGGGAGAGCGGCTTTTTTTTTTTTTTTTTTTTTTTTTTTGGTATTTAATTCATAAACAAACCATTAAAAGAAGAGTAAATTACATGTCCTTATTGCCTTGATGCGGGCGACCACTCTTCAATATTCATTAGTAATTAAAATTGAATATAGATCACTACCTGAGGCCCTGTATTGCTGGGTATAACAACATTATCCTTGACTGTATGTGCAGCTGCAGTTCCTAAGACGCCATCCGCTGGATCTTCATCATCACTATTTTGAATATATTCGACGAAATGGTCAGTATATGAAGCAGTTGATAAATCTCTCATCTCTGATGTCAATTAATATCAACTATCTAGCTTAACTACCTTGACGTCGAGGGAGGCGGACTTGGTGTATGATTATGACTACTTTGCTCCACTGAAGAAGAAGAGGAAGAAAAGCCGATCAATATGAATGTCACGACAAATACGAAGAAAAATACATATTTATTGATTTAAAAATGGAACAAGAAATGATTACCTGAGAGGCTCTTGTAGAGCGGTTTTCCCTTCCTTTCAGCAATGCGTCGGCGATCAAACCAATTCGCAATCTACCAGAATGCAGAAAGATAGATAATGATGGGCATCAGCAATGAGCAAATTCTCCTATCTCTCTTCCCTCTATAATTTATCTTACTGGAAGCTTAATAAAGAAATTAATACCTGCTTCTCTGTGCATCCAACACGCCCTGCAAGCTCAATTTTGACAGTCTTTTCTGGATATGCACTGGATTTGAAAGAAGTCTCCAATACTGCTAGGTCTTCCTCTGTAAGCCTAAATCGTGGCTTATGGGGCTCGTCAACGGTTGCTGTTGTACTTGCAGAACCAACTACACTTCCCATAGAAGAGTAACCCAGAAAGTGCAAACAACAGAATCGTAAACATGAACGGCAAAATGTGTGTAAATGATGAATAAGGAAGAAAAAAAATGTTTTCTTTGGTCAGTCAAAAGTTTATATTGTGAAATGAATTTCTTCTTTTCTGTCCTGCCACAATCCCTCTTTTTTTTTTTTTTTTTTTTTTCGGGCTTTAGTAGGGTGATTGAAATGTATAAATATCACAAGTAAGGGCCTTCAAACATGCAGGTGAATGTTGGCGTAACTCCTTGGGATCATGAGCCAACATTTGCCAGTGGATTTGAGAAAAAAAATGGTTTCAAAATATAAGGCTTGATTGCAATGCTCTCTTCAATCGACGGTATTCAAGACAATGAACCTTCGAAGTGGTTGTTTTCTACGTGTCCTAGTGTTTCTAACCCAACCAATTCCCCTTCAACACTCAGGACATATATCAAATCATCTTCATTGTTCGTTGCTATGACCAATCGACTTTAGAGAGTCATAAACAATACTAATAATAATACCAATAACAATAATAATAATAATAATAATAATAATAATAATAATAATAATAATAATAATAATAATAATAATAATAATAATAATAATAATAATAATAATAATAATAATAATAATAATAATAATAATAATAATAATAATATAAAAATTAAAAATTAAAAATTAAAAAATAAAAGGAACAACTACATCTTGATCCTTGTTTCTTTTTTTCTTTTTTCTTTTTTTTTTTTTTTTTTTTTTTTTTCATTACTATCCTGCAAATTGCCATAGTTTGTGAGATGTGCTCTGAATATAATTTTTACATCAAAGACATCGATCATATCACAATTATACGCCATAATCATCATGATAATAACTAATACTACTTTTACATGAAACGATTCTTCACCTCTGCTGCGAACAGCGGTCTCTTGAGCGGATTGGGCGGTAAAAAGTAATCCTTCATTGCTCGACGGCTTTGTATGAATTCCAGGACTAAGAGCAGGCGATGACAATGACGTCAATGACTTGAAAGGGATGGGCATGGTCATTGTTTGGATCATTAATCTCTTGGATGGCGGTGATTTTGATCCAGTATCGGATACAGAAGTCAATTCTTGAGCAGTCTCTATTGGTGTGGTTACTGAAGGAATTAAATTGGCAACAGAGGAATCCTTATTTGCTGATAAGAGTTTGAGTATGGCTGTACGTTGCTCTTCCTCT